CAGTCGTCCTCAACATCACCCAGCCTCCTCCCAAGCCCTACCTCGGTTGGCGGCTTGTGATAAATGATGGCAGCTTGCGGTTCGAACTGCGCCCATCGGGTAACATGTGGCCGCAGTTGATTCTGTATATCCTTCTCTGGATTGTCCCGATTATCACGGCGAGCTTCGGCGTATGGTCCTTCATGCAGTCCTTCTATCAAATCAAGTTCAACGAAGTCGGCATATCGGAAAAGAAGAGCTTCATTCCCGCAGTCTTCAAGAGAACATCCAAGAAGCTGCCTGACGAGGAGGACTCGTCCCGCGTTCTGACCAAGTTCTCGCGGAAGCCAAAGTTTCTGCAACCAACTGGTGCTCTCCTCGATCAGCAGAAACGGCGGACCGTCTTGATCGCAACTATGGAGTATGATATCGAAGACTGGGCTATCAAGATCAAGATTGGCGGCCTTGGTGTCATGGCACAACTGATGGGTAAGAATCTCGGTCATCAAGATCTGATCTGGGTCGTGCCCTGTGTTGGCGGTGTTGACTACCCGGAAGACCAAAAGGCGGATCCTATGACGGTAACAGTCCTCGGCAAACCATACGAAGTGCAAGTCCAGTACCATGTCCTGCGCAATATCACCTACGTTTTGCTTGATTCGCCTGTCTTCCGGCAGCAAACCAAGGCTGAGCCATACCCACCTCGCATGGACGACCTTTCCTCCGCCATCTATTATTCGGCCTGGAATCAGTGTATCGCGCAGGCTCTGAATCGCTTTCCCGTCGACCTCTACCACATTAACGACTACCACGGCTCTGTGGCTCCTCTGTACCTGCTGCCCAGGACGATCCCGGCCTGCCTGTCTCTCCACAATGCCGAATTTCAGGGCTTGTGGCCAATGCGCACGAATCAGGAGCGCGACGAGGTCTGTTCGGTCTTCAATCTGCCTTCTGAAATTGTGGCCAAGTATGTGCAATTCGGCGAAGTGTTCAACCTACTCCATGCCGGTGCATCCTACTTGAGGGTCCACCAGCGCGGCTTCGGTGCGGTGGGTGTCTCCAAGAAGTATGGGAAGCGATCATACGCCCGGTATCCGATCTTCTGGGGGCTGAAGAAGGTTGGCAAATTGCCCAATCCGGACCCGTCAGATACAGGCGAATGGGACAAGAAGCTGCCTAAAGAGTCTGACATCCGCATCGACCCCGAGTTCGAAGCTGCAAGACCTGAACTCAAGCGTCAAGCGCAGGAATGGGCCGGCCTCGAACAGAACCCCCAGGCGGAGCTGTTCGTCTTCGTCGGACGCTGGTCAATGCAGAAGGGCGTAGACCTGATTGCGGACGTCTTCCCGTCAGTTCTCGAGTCGAATCCAAACGTGCAACTCATCACCATTGGGCCTGTCATCGACTTGTACGGCAAGTTTGCGGCAATGAAACTCGATCGCATGATGAAGCTGTATCCCGGGAGAGTATTCTCAAAGCCTGTCTTCACAGCGCTTCCCCCGTTTATCTTCTCTGGTGCAGAGTTCGCCCTCATTCCGTCACGAGACGAACCTTTCGGCCTTGTCGCTGTCGAGTTTGGTCGTAAGGGCGCCCTTGGCGTCGGTGCAAGGGTCGGCGGGCTTGGTCAAATGCCAGGATGGTGGTATACGGTGGAATCCATGACCACCGCCCATCTGATACATCAGTTCAAACAGGCTATTCACGAAGCCCTCAGCTCCAGCACGGAAATACGTGCGCTCATGAGAGCGCGGTCTGCTAAGCAACGGTTCCCTGTCGCCCAATGGGTTGAGGACCTGGAAATCCTACAGTCGACAGCAATTCGTATCCATGACAAGATCGAAGCCACACAGCGCCATACTGCTGCAGGGGACCTGATCGGCACCACCGCATGGAACACTCCCATTGCTTCGGGCGCCGCCACACCCTCGGGCTTCCGGACTCCCACCTTCGGCCACTCCAGAATGTCGAGCTATGCAGCAATTCAATCCCTGACTAGCCGCCTCAAGAATATTGGACACAGCAGAGAACTGAGCCAAGCTACTACTCAGCGTCCAAATTCTAGCCACTCGCATGCTCCCTCCGGTCTGTCACGTTCCGCGTCCCTTGGATCTCGCAGAGGCCCGGGACACGTCGATGTTCAAGATGAGCACGACGGCGACGAGCCACGGACTCCCAGCTTTCTGCCGCCTATTCCGGACATTGCGGGAGACGACACTGGATTGAGGACAGGCTCAACTCAGAATCCCAACGAGTACTCGGACAACGAAGATGAAGATCTGGACACCGATTTTGACGACGACGAAGCCGTTGCTATGCCCAAACCGACCAACCCGCGATACGAGAGGATCCCCCTTAATGATGACCCGCCTCGGACGCCGCCGTCCAGCAATTTTGGGCCAAGAAGCAGGGCAGGGCTGGAGCTGATACCACTCCAAAGCACACCCCACAGCAGAAGAAACTCATTGGATCAGCCTAGACCAGAGTCGGGTCTTCTCGTCCCGCCGCCGGTCTTGACGGACAACAACCGTGTCTCGAGTAGTCTTTCCCTGCTTTCCATGAACTCGATTGTGGGGGAGAAGACGGATTTCAAGCTGCAACAGGTCGACCCCTTCTTCACAGACAGCAACGGCGAGTTTGCCCGAGCTTTTGAGAAGAGGCTGGCAGACCTCACTGGTCACAACTCCGAGAGTACAACCTGTATCGAGGAGTTCCTTGTCAAATCCGAGAAACAATGGTTCAACACGTTCCGTGATGCCAAGCTGGGAAGGCACGCCGCCAACGCTTCGGCTCGTAACAGCATGCACATCAGCCGCGAGTCGCGCCCAACCTCAGCCGCGCCGTCTATATACGGAGCAGACACGGATCCCGACTCCCATCACGATCCAAACAATCTGGCTGATGAATTCCTGCTGGGTGAGAACTACAAGCCACCCACTGGGCTGAGAAAGTGGATGCAATTGCGAGTTGGTGACTGGCCTGTCTACGCCTTCTTCATGGGCTTCGGACAGATCATTGCAGCCAACTCGTATCAGATCACGCTGTTGACAGGAGAGGTTGGCCAGACGGCATCGAAACTGTACTCGATTGCGTCCATCTATCTCGGGACATCCATCTGCTGGTGGGTCTTCTTCAGACGCTTCCAATCTAGGCTCTGCCTCTCCCTGCCATTCTTCTTCTATGGTCTGGCTTTTCTCCTGATCGGCGCAGCACATTACGGTTCTTCCATCAGCAGCCGAGGCTGGATCCAGAATGTCGGAACAGGCATGTATGCAGTAGCCTCTTCCTCGGGTTCGATCTTCTTCGCCTTGAACTTCGGCGACGAGGGCGGTGCCCAAGTCAAGGCCTGGGTCTTCCGAGCCTGCATGATCCAAGGCACCCAGCAGATCTACGTCGTCGCCCTCTGGTACTGGGGCGCATACCTCAACAAACGCACCGTCACCCAACTGGTCAGCACGCCCAACCCCATCACCGACACGTGGAAGATCACTGCCATCACACTGCCCATCGCATTCTTGCTGTGGGCCATCGGTCTGTTCATGTGGTTCGGGCTGCCAAGCTACTACCGCCAAGCACCGGGCAAGATGCCCAGCTTCTACAAGTCCCTGACGCGGCGAAAGATCGTGCTCTGGTTTTTTGTCACGGTCATTATCCAAAACTTCTTCCTTTCTGCACCCTACGGCCGGAACTGGTCGTTCCTCTGGAGCAGCTCGCACGCCAAGACCTGGCAAATTGTGTTACTTGTCGCATTGTTCTTCATCGGTGTCTGGGCAGGAGCTTTGTGGCTGTTCGCCACGCTGTCCAAGTCGCACAGCTGGATTTTACCGCTCTTTGCCATCGGACTCGGTGCACCGCGATGGGCCCAGATCTGGTGGGGAACGAGCAATATCGGCCTATACCTGCCCTGGGCCGGCGGATACACGGCTTCTGCGCTGGCGTCGCGCGCACTGTGGCTCTGGCTCGGCACTTTGGACGCCATCCAAGGCGTCGGACTGGGCATGATCCTCCTGGCGACGCTCACGAGGGTGCACGTCGCGTTCACACTCATCACGGCCCAAGTCCTCGGCTCGGTGGCTACGATTGTCGCGCGAGCTTGCGCGCCCAACAAGATCGGTCCCGGCCCCATCAGCCCGGACATCAGTGGCGGCGTGTCGAGTGTCTGGCAAGCCTGGTTCTGGATCGGGCTGATCTTCAACCTGGCCATCTGTGCCGGTTATTTCAAGGTACGTCGGCAGCGGCTGCTCTTTTATACCCGTGAATGCGCAAGAGCGATACTAATGATCTTTATAGTTCTATCGAAGCGAACAGCTGAGCAAGCCGTGATTTGTGGCAACCTACGAGGCGGCGTTCTGCTCTCGAGTGGTGTCTGTACAATATGTAGCTTATGACCATAGACCGATGCACGGAGGGGATGAATAGACGGAATGGATTGGGAGGTTTTAATGAATGACATAGAAATGACTGATATTGTACCACGGACTTACGGCGGGATTCGGGATATCTGTAACTGTGCATGTACATACGTGTGTACAGGGGCACGGAGCGCGTATGAATAGAGCCTTTTGTACGACATATTTGGATATGTGCATACCGATGTGGCCGATATGCGCACAAGTTTAGAAGTAGAGTATGTATCGATATTGATGTTCGTGTTGATATAATGTGATGTAATACAAGGTGATATTCCAGACCAGGCATCCAAGATAGTAGACTGTGCTTGATATGCACGGGGTATGGGTACGGGTACATGTAGTATTCGTCAGTCTATGTACGAGCCCGACTCGACTCGACACGAGATTTCGGGCTAGGCGTCACCAGGGCCAAGACGAGTGAAGCTGGTGGGATCGTTATATCCCGTATGGCTTCACGGCAAAGGCATGCAGGTAGTTAGGTAGGTAGGTAGGTAGATGTCCGTCAGCTCTTTCGCTCATTACTGTACTTTGCTTTCACACATTATCATATGATGTCGTATAAGTAATCGTACATTCATAATCATCACGCCCAAGCCATGCCACGCGGCTATCCTACGAAACGCGCTGCTTCTTGAAGACGTTCCCGTTCCCATTTCCGCCCTTCAAGCCATTCCCATTCGTTTCGCGCTGTCGTTTGCGCTCGAGCTCTTCCTTCATGATGCGCTCGGCCTCGCTCATGGGTCTTTGCGCGGATGGCGGGACGGGCTGTTTCTTCGCGCCATTCAGAGGATTGTTCTTCTTGGACGCTGCGGCGAAGACGTTCTTGGGCTTGCTTGTCGTGGGGCCGAAGGACACTGATATGGATGGTTGTACTTGTTTCGCTCCCGACGGAGGTTGTGTTGACGGAGTAGCAGTGTCTGTGGTGTCGGGAGGTGTGCTGGCTGATGAGGCTCGAGTTGGTGAAGGTGCTGTATCTTCGCCTTTTTGCTGCTCCTTGTCCTTCTCAGAAGGCGAATCATCACCTTTGTCCGAGAGAGGGGGCGTTGGCGACGCAGCCGGGCCGACTCCAGGGGTCACCTTTTTCGCTCCAAAGTTGAGGACGATCTTCTCTCCATGTTTTCGCTTGATGCCGTGGCTTTCGCCTTCAATCTGTGCTTCGTCGTTGGGGGGCATGTCGTCCTCCGCGTCATCTTCATCTTCAGCCCGACTCTGCCCCTTGGCTCTGCGGATCTGTTCCTGGATCATCCGCTGCTCGCGCTCCTCGTCACCCCTGTCTTGTCTCTCCTTTTTCCGTATGGCTTCCTGCCGCCGCAGCGCTTCGGGGCTATTGTCGATCCAGCTAATCATCAGGGCGCTCGCGCCGCCGCGGGCTTCGTTCTTCTCGTCCTCATCCACCCGGCATATGCCTTCCCTGCCTAGATACTTGGCAAACTCGGTCAGACTGTTCCACCTGGTGGCGTTCATGTGGATGTGTTCCTTGTTCGAGATGTACTCTTGGTAGAAGTGGTTGACGTTGACCTTTTTCTCACCGTGGCCCGTCCGCAGTAGTTGGATGAAGTCCTTGAGAAATTGGTTGGAGAAGTCGCGGATCGCTTTGCGGGGGTCTTCGCCGATGAGCTGCATTTGTCGAACATGCGATTCGGACGCGACGTGGCATTTGAAGCCGTTCTCGTCGCGCATTTGGCGCTGGCATGCTTGACAGTACCATCGCAACCGCTGGAGGCCTTTGGCCTTCATCTGGTTGGCGATGTACTTGGTCGATCCTACCTCGGCGCGCGGCATGATTGCGGTGTGAGGTAGGGGAGGAAAGGGTCAGATCGAAAGTTGAAGTGGTAGGTTTGTTGCAGAGCTGGTGGAGGTAGGAGTGAGTGCTGGGTAGGTGCAAGTTCAAGTGGCGTCAAATGTCAGAGAGAACGAGGCCAAGCACGTGACTGCCATGCTTTCCACGTGACTCTGAGCCAACCTGGGACCTCACGTTCGAGTACTTCCCCTTTCATGACGTTCATCAGCAGCGCTATTATCAAGGCTTGTGCTAACTCCATGCTGACAATGCCGCTTATGCTACGGCATGGGTAGTTCAGCAACGATGGATTCCGTACATGTGCGCCGATACCTACCCCGGTTCGAGGATCAATAATGTGTACAGACTCTGAGGACTAGGTCGAGGACTTTAAGAAGCGTAGCTTGTGGTGGATGAGAATGAGAACGAAAACGAGAATATCAACATTCCACAAGCTGCTCAGTGTTTGGCGAAGTAGATGCGTATGATGTTTGAGCTTGACGAAATCTGTTCTCGCTTGCTTCGGGTCGTCGGTAGATGCGCAAGTCGCAGCAATACTACGAATGCCTTGCCTTACTTCATCGCTGCACCCTGTACCAGCTCTGGCTACCGTGACAACATCTAAAGATCCGAAACACATTGTCGAGTACGAGCACTTGAGGCGTGGCGTGCTTCACGGCAAGAAACTTCTGGTGCGGGAAGTCATCGACACGCAACCCATCATTGAGACTGTCGAGATAGATGGAGCAAGTTTGTACTGGGCGATGAACGGCCTTCTTGTAGAGGACAAAATGTGCGTTAATTATTGATAGTCCAATACCGTGTACTGTGTAGGCAGCACGCACGAATGAGTCAGCGAGAAATCCAAAACACCACAATTCATGTTCTAGGTGGAAGTGCCTATTGGTTACGAACCGGAATATTTCAGTGCGGAGGATGCATCTCCGGACCATGTAATGCGTGGTTTGGCAACGGCGTAAAGACTGGATCTGTTTCTCGCGCCACCAACACAGTTTTCCGTCTGGTTGGGACTTTTCGTCCTCGATCACTCGGATCGTGGCACCCGATACTGAATAACCTAGTCCGTAATGGCACGAGTACAACAACCTACAAGCACCGCGAAATCAAAATCCAAACCTACCAGGCGGTTAAAGTCGAAACCCCGATCCCTCAGATCAGGCCGGCCTCCACTACTGTTCCCTTCGCCAACATCAAACATTGACATTTCAAGGCGCACAACCAAAGACACACTCAAAGCGACCACCACCAAAGCCAAATCCAGTGCCCGGCCAACGCTCTCATCAAAACACACCCGCACCCTCATCAACACGCACCACCTCCTGCAAAAGCGTCTAGCCACCGCCCGCGCCCAGGGCGACACCCTCCAGATCCAGGCCCTCGAAGCCCAGCTCGCAGCCCAAGGCGGCCTCAAGGCGTACCAGCTCGCCAGCCGGACAGGCCAGAGCCGAGACCGCGGAGGCGATTCCAGCAGACAACTTGTCCGTTGGCTCGAGGCGGAGGTGTCGGCGCGGAGGGAAGCGATTCGAGCCAGAGGCCAGCGCGTACATAGGCCCGATAACGCCAATGCCGACCCCAATGCTCATGCTGTCGCCCTCCTTCGCATCCTCGAAGTCGGGGCCCTCAGCACGGACAACGCGCTCAACATCCTCGAGGTCACCGCCGTGAGGAGGATCGATCTGCGCAGCTCCGGTCCAGGAATCGAGGAGGTCGATTTCATGGACCTGGATCTGCCCGCGACCTGTTCGAGCGCAGATGATCACGCAGCAGACGCAGGAGACGCAGGATACGACGTCCTCTCTCTATCTTTGGTGCTCAACTACGTCCCCGATGCAAAAGCGAGGGGCGAAATGTTAAAGCGGACGACGCTGTTCTTCAGGCGATCGCGAAACCATTCTTCGCCGCCAACGTCTCTCCCTCTTGCGCCCCATGATGAACACGACGAGCATGACGAGCATGACGAGCACGACGAGCAGATTACAGAGATCAGGCTGTTACCCTGTTTGTTCCTCGTCCTCCCGGCCCCGTGTCTGGAGAATAGTCGGTACTTGACCTCGGAGCAGCTCGCGGCGATGCTCAGTTCCCTGGGCTATTGCCTCGTGCGGGCCAAGACGACGCGAAAGCTGCATTATAGTCTGTGGCGCTATGATGGGTCGGCAGCGAGGGATGAGTGGGTGAGGAAGGGCGGCCAGACGGTGTTCAAGAAGAAGGAGATCAACCCGGGAGGGGGGAGGAATAATTTCTGCATCGTTCTGGATGGCGACGATGGCTCATAGAGACGGAAGAATGCTCGATGGTGTCTTCTCTGTTTCACGACCGGAATCTCGACGCCCGTGTGACTCAATTAGAGGACATGATGAATTTCAGAGGGGTCTGGGCAGAGGCCTAACTATATAGTTACGAAGGCCTATATAAACAATACGGTATCGTACAATAGGGGGTATAGCTCCATACAGCCTTAGCGCTGCCTGGCTAACCTGTTATAAATCGCTCCACGTAAGGTGATCTGCGGTCCACAGGTTTACTTGTGGGGAGTAACAACTGTATGTCTTCTCGAAGGGAAGGGTACGCGGTTACTTGTAACGGCGTGACAGTGGAACAACACTCGTGAGCCTAAAGGTAGGGGTTAGAGTATTAACGAACTTAACTACAGCCTACTATAGAGGTAGACGTGAGTCCTTATATATATACCCGAAGGTTGCCTCGTGCTATTAGTCTTGCTCAGTCCGCTCAGTCGTGCTTAGTCCTGCTTAGCCTGAGTGAGGCTGATCCCCGCTGAGCGACACTGAGCAGCGCTGAGCACGTCACGTGACCGTTGGTCTCGTCAGCCTTGCCAACGAGGCTGGTTAGCCTCTTCGGCTTAGTTTCCTCTATTAAATAGCTCTGGCTTTGTTAAAAGGCGCTCTAGAGTTCCGTCACTTTCATCCTAAGCGCGGCATCTCCGACGGCATCGATTGTTGTGATGGACGAGGTATGTGTTGCCGAAATTCTTTACCATCCCCCCGCCCCCCTCTAACCTCTCTCTCCTCAGGGCAACCAAAATAAGTGCCTTCATCATCTTGTGTAGGATTGCCGCTCAGAAAAAGGGATCGAGTCTGAGTCTGCCAGAATACGGAAGTCCCATCTCTGCCCAAGCCGCAAACCCGTTACCTGAATGCCTCGAGAGCACGAGAACAAAATGTTGTGCACAAGTGTAGAGAACCAAAAGCCTGTCCGACATCTCTCCCCCTCTCTCTCCCTCTCTCTCAAGCAAACACGTCAGCCCAGTACCGAACACCTTTCAAGCCGTTAACCCATGCTTCGGCCGACTCCTGCGAGACCCCCTTGGCGTCCATGAAGATCTTGGCCATGACTTTGTTAACTTCGTTCCCCACGGCGCCAGCGCCACACATGTAGATCCGTGCATTCCGCATGAAGAGCCCCTTTGCCTCGCTTCTGTCGTGCCATATCCTGTCCTGAACATGGCGACAACCGAAGCTCCGCTCCGGTGCTCGTGAATAGGCGTGGCGCACTTTCACCGCGCCCTGCGCTTCCCACTCGGCAAATTCGCTCTTGTAGAGCTCGTCCCCATCGGGCAATCCGCAGCCGTAAAATAGCAGTGCAGGGCCAACTTCTTTCCCAGACTTGATCTTGAGTGCGCGCTCTTGGACAAACGCTCTGAAGGGCGCCAGGCCCGTACCGGCGCAAACCATCAGCACCGGAGTAGTGTCATCGAGCGGGAGATGGAACCCTGCATGACTCGGGCGCACCGCAACGTGGATCCAGTCGCCCGGTGCGCGCGATCGGAGGTAATTGCTGCAGACGCCCAAGAAACGGCCCTTGTCCGGGTCTCCACCCCTTGTCGGAGCATCGAGAACCGAGTAGGTGATTGTACACTTGGATGGGTCTTCCAGAGGGGAGGACGAAATACTGTACTGGCGGATTCGCATCAATGGGAGCGCCTCCAGAAATTGTCCGAGCGAGAATTGGGCGCTGGGATATCTCTCCAGGATGTCGAGAAGGGACTTGTTCTGGTCCAGGATCTCTTGCTTGAAGGCGTCGCTCGCGAGCCTTTCCAAGCTTTCCCTCGCGGCAGGTTCTGCGATTGTTGCGGCCACCTGCTTCAATTGCTTCGATGTCGCTGGCTGTGACAGTTCGACGAGAGCCGACAGGACTTCAAAAAGCGGCAGAGGTCTCCCCGGAGGGAGCGCGGTGTGAGTACCGGGGTTGATGGTGATCATGGCATCCCAAGGAAGACCGAATCTTGCAAGGCACCTCCGCACATTTCTTGTCGGATTGAAGGGGAGGACTGCCAGGTAGTCTCCAGCCCTGTACGACATTCCTGAAGGCAACTGAATCTCGAGGTGTCGCTTCTCAGGCCCGTTTGGCGCGGTCAAGAGTCTTGTCGCGAGCACCAGACCTTGTTTGAGATCCTGCCGAAGGAAAGACGCTCTGCTGTCAGCAGATATCTGAATATCGAGTCCCGAGGATCGTGGGTCTTCCACACCCTTTGCTGCGACCTGGAAAGCTTTGGCAACAGCAGGCCACAACTGCTCATCTTTCCATGTATCATACGTGTCGAACAACGCAGCATCGTTTGCGTCGCCAGCTCCTCTGGCCGTCAAACGCTCAGCGCCTCTTTCGGAAAGGGTGGAATCCACAAGCTTAGGGATCCTGTGGTAAGTGTGTTGCCAGTCACCTTCAAAACGTCAGCACACCACCATCACCGAGCTTCTTCTTCTTCTTCTTCTTCTGGCGCACTTACGATTTCCACATCCAAATACGGCATATTTGACTCCGCTGGCTCCTGTGCCATGTAACCCTTCCAGCCAAGAGACAAAGTGCACCGCATTGTCCGGTGGCTGTCCTTCGTAGCTTGAGGTAATGATCACCACAGGGCCTTTCTTGGGCAACGCATCCACCGCTTTATTCAAGATTTCAACTTTGGCCTGGAAGCCGTGGGAAGCGGCAGAGGACGCCAAAGAGTTCGCCATGGCCTCACAGGTCCCAGTGTTGGACCCGTAAAATATTGAGAGTATTGGTAATTTCGAGTCTGTTTGATCCGAATTTCCGCTTGCCGGCGCTGGCGGTGGCTGATGCTTACCCGTATCTCTGGGGATCGACCGTCCGAACAATCTGGTCTCAATGTCGGGTCGCCGAGCTTTGGCGCGCATAAAAAACCCTTTGGGCTTGACAGTCAATGTAGATTGAAGCACGAGCTGATAAGTGGGATCCGACATGCTGAAGTCGAAGTTCTGAAGCAACATGGCCAGAGCCAACAGGGCCTCCTGCCACGCAAATGGTCGGCCAATGCATGCGCGCGAGCCATTCCCAAATGGCTGTTTTCAATGTTAGTTAGTCCGTCGTCATGAGGTTCCAGGGGCACAAGGCATCATCACGTACTTTCCACGCGTTGGGAGGGAGTTTGTTGAACGCCTCATTGAGCATTCTCTCTGGGCAGAACTGCTCGGCGTCTTCACCATACACCGCAGGATCCTTGTGGATAGCCATCAAGAAACAGACAAGCGCCGTATCCTTTGTGACGTGGTACTTTCCCCCGATCACTTCATCCTGTTTGGACCGGACCGTGAATGCTGGTGCAGGCGGGTGAAGCCTCAACGTTTCTCTCAAGACGGCGTTGAGGTATTCCAGTTGGGAGAGGTGTTGTACTGTAACTGCATCGTCCCCAATCACTGTGTCGACCTCCTTTTGGGCTTGTTGGTAAGCTTCCGGGTTCTTCAGAAGCTCATAGAATACAAAGGAAAGAAGCCCCGAGGTGGTCTCATGGCCTGCCAAGTTAACTGAGCATATCCGTCCCAGTCGCGGGGAATGGAGGTTTTACCTGCAATGAGAAACGTGATCATGTTGTAAGCGATACTCTCGTTGCTCAGATTCTCGCCTGTCTGAGGATCTTTGTTGTACAGTATGGCGTTCAGGAGATCTTTCTTGTCAGAGGGATTCTCGCGACGATGTCTGACGAGATCGGTCGCGATTTTGAGCATCAGGTCCACGCTGTCCTGAAATTTCTTGTCTGCGGCTTGGAAGAAGTAGCTAGGGAGTGGTGGTCGTCGTGCACGCTCGCCGGCACCAATCAACACCGCGACCATTGCATTGACAAATGGATGCATCTCTTCGGTGTAAAAGGAGTTGAATCTAGTCCCCATCGCACACCTTTCTTGTTCAGTCGAATATCCGAGGACAAATGAACTCACTTACAAAGCAATGGAGTCCAGGGTCAACCGTGTAAAGTCATCCGTAACCTTGATATCATGCTCTGGACCATAGCGAGACCATTTCAGCACCAGCTGGGTGGCAATGTCGTACATCTCTGGAGACCAAGAGTCAGTGCACCACGACAGTTGTGTCGGGAAGCATGGAGACACCCACCATCATACATGTCACGAATGGATATAGGCCCAAACGCCGGCATTAATGCTCGATGCGCCACGCCCCAATTGTGCTCCCCCGGAAAGGCAGTGAATAGGCCGTCATGGACAGCGCTCCGAATGTGTAAAAGAGCACCGGTGACGGCTTTCTCAAATCGTTTTTCGTCCATCAGCTCGTTGAAAAGCTCCCGCCGGCAGATAAAGACTCTTTCGTGCCCGCCCAGGGTAAGCTTGAATATCTCTCCTAGATTGTCATTGTGAGTCTAGTTCCAGAGACATGTCTCCACCCCGCCGAGGGCCTTCCCCCCAGAAAACATTGCAACTGTACTAACCATATCTATTAGCCAGGTTAGAGAGGCTCGTCATAGGAAATTCCGCGTCAATATCGAGAGCATTGCCAATAATAGGATATCCTCTGGGGGACGGGATAGGTTCCGTCATATTGGTCAGTCAGATGTGCACCGGTATGGCCTTGATAACCCAGATTTGCACGAAAAGGGTCTCGTGCATGGAGCCCCATAAGTGGGCATGTTGATAGATTTATACATCAGCCTGTACGTCTTTTCTGGGCCTGTTCGGGCCGAGGGAACACTCAAGAGTCGCTCATATCTCCCACGACTCTGAGTGGTGTGGTATCTACCTTTGGGCAGTAGCCGGCAGAGTTTGGGAGAAGGGCAGCAACAACATTGTGGGTGGGTGGCGGACCTCGCTTGGGCTGAGGGGAGTAGGTAGGCTGGGTGCTCACATTGGTACTAGCAAAGCACCAAATGGGCTATCGCATGGCCGCTGGAGAACTTGACTCGACAACACAAGATCAGATCGTCGACGGGATGCTTCCGATCTCAGCTGCATTGGGCCGCTTCCACATGCTGCAAGGGGTGGCTCGCTCGTCAACGAACCCGATTTGCCTGTCGCTTTCTACTCCGTGGAGAGTTCCATCCACCCACTTCCAATAGGATTCGAGGGATTGCCGTCGTCTCGACCTCTAGCTGGCATGTTCTCATTCCCCCTTGCTCAAAGTTTCTCACTGTGGCTTTTGAGTTATTGTTCAGCTCGACAGCTGAAGGTAAGCAGGTTGCCCAGCCGGGTCGGTTTCAGTTGCCAGAATCTCTCAAAAAGATGACAATCGATGCTTAAAGATTGTTCCTGTTCACATTCGCAGCATCTGGGAATCTATCTGTCAAACCCAAACGTGCAGCGACATGTCTTCCACTAAAGCCGCGGTCATCCGAGAGTGTCGACCCAATTTGACTGCCTACGAAGCTGTTTACAAGAAGATTCATGCAAACCCCGAGCTGTCTCACTGCGAGTCCGAAACAGCCTCATTAATTATTCAGCATCTCCGGGGCTTGAGCGCCGATTTTGAGATTCGGGCAGGGATCGGAGGCCACGGGTTGATTGCGATCCTGCGAAATGGAACCGGAAAAACGGTCCTGCTCCGAGCAGATATCGATGCATTGCCGGTCGCAGAGCGAACGGGCCTCGAATACGCCAGTCTGCGAAGGCAAATCGGCAGCGATGGAAAAGAAACGCCAGTGATGCATGGTAGGGAGCATTTCAGTTCGGTCCAGACAGAGCAGGAGGTGACTGATGACTCTTTCCAGCCTGCGGACATGACTTTCACGCTGTCTGCTTACTGATCGCAGCTGAGACTCTCCTGAGGGCCCGCCAATTTTGGACTGGGACACTCGTGTTTCTCTTCCAACCAGCTGAAGAGGCTGGGGATGGCGCCCTAGGAATGGTCAACGATGGCTTATATGACAGTTCGAGGCATAACTGTCCTATTCCTGACATTGTTCTGGGACAGCACGTGGCCCCGATTCGGGCTGGGGTGGTTGCATCCAAAAATGGCCCCATTATGAGCTCCTCTGACAGCCTCAAAGTCACCATCTTTGGCCGAGGCGGACATGGAAGCATGCCTCATCGTTGTATTGATCCCGTGGTGATAGCCAGTCATATCGTCGTCCGTCTCCAAACAATTGTCAGTCGGGTTGTACCTCCTGACGAAGTTGCCGTCATCACCGTCGGGTCCATCCATGCTGGCGAAGCGGAGAATGTGATCAGCGATCGCGTGTTCTTTACTGTCAACATTCGAACACTCGATGAACAAGTACGACACACTGTTCTCGATCATGTTCGGAGAACAATAACGTCAGAATGCGAAGCAGGGTTTTGTGAGAAGGGCCCCCAGATCGAACATCATATGAGCCTTCCAGTCACCGTCAACTCGGAGAATGCTGAAAAGAAACTCAGACAAACTTTTGCGCAGATTTTCGGGCATGAGTTTGTGGTCGCACCAAAAAGCAGCCTAGCAAGCGAAGACTTCAGTATCCTCGCTGGGTCGATTGGAAAACCCTACTGTTTCTGGCTATTCGGCGGTATAGATCAACAGCTGTGGGATTCTCTAGCCGCACAAGGAAAGCTCGACACTGTGCCGATCAACCACAGCCCAGACTTTGCGCCGGCAATTCATCCCACCCTTGAAACTGGAGGGGATGCTTTGGTTGCGGCAGCGCTCACTTTCTTGGAATCTTCCCCATAGCCATCCGCCATCGAGCGAGAGCCGCCGAGTGCCCTTTGGATGGAGGGAGAGGAGCGAAGAGAAGTTAGGGGCGATTTGCCTGAACCCATGACGTTTCCACTCGATCCCATAACGGACTCCTACACAGTACTGTGCACAGTAGGCTGATGTATCTCGGCGCTCTTAGTCTCTTGGAACTCTCGCCGCATTGGCACTAGTTAGCACACATGAATGTCATCAAACTGGATCGATTCGCAAGTCGACTGTGGCGCTGGCACTACTAGGAAGCACTAGCTAGATCTTATTTTCTCGGTTGATGACACCTGGGCCATTGCCAAGGTTCGACTCGCTAAGGCCCTGCCAATTAATTACGATAATTATGCTCCCCACAGCTGGTCGAGGCCCAAGAGCCACAGCTTGCACTTTCTGCCAGAGCTCGGTTAGCGGCAGGACGTCCAACACACACAAGAAGGAGTGTGCAACAGAAGCTTTGAGCTAGATGTCGATACAAGCTGAACCGCGGTGTTCCATGGAATGTTGATAAACACACAATCCTCCCACCACGGGGGACGTCGGAGGAGGAACCACGATTGGCAAATTCTGTCTCCTCAGACACTCCGATGGCAGCGATAGCTCCTGTGAGCAATCCAGCTGGGCACAATGCTCTGGTCTATACGACAACCCACCCAGAACATGGAGACGCCAAACCAAACGGCCTGGGGATAGATGATGACCACTCTTCGAGAGTGCATCGTCTCCGCGGGTCAAGGGTGCGGACACATCGCTCTACTTCCTTCGTCACATCCACCTCGAGTGGTTCTACGATTCCTCGGCTCGAGGCCGTGGTAGCGCGGGTCAGGAGTCGACCTCCAATCGTTCCGAGCAATTTCACACATGAGCTCGAACATCAGAAAACGACAGTGGAAGATCTGGTCGACTTTGACGGCGCGGACGACCCCTATTGGCCCATCAATTGGTCGAGGAAGAAAAAGATCATTACCACGGCGTTGTATAGCTCCACGACTATGACGGCCTCCTGGGCCAGCAGTGCATTTAGCCCGGGCACTCAGCAGGTGGCGCAACACTTCGGCGTCAGCAATCAAGTCGCGACGTTGGGCACGAGTCTGTTCCTTTTCGGGTTCGGCCTCGGTCCTCTCTTGTGGGCGCCGTTGTCTGAGGTATTCGGCCGAAAGGTAAATGCCCAACATGTATCCTTGATACCTCGTGCGGCACGTGGGTGGGAGAGGCCGGAAGATACTTACTTAGGATCCTGAGATGGTGACTGAAGCTGACAGTTTGCCGGAATAGACCTCTGTCCTTCCACCAATGCTCGTCGCTATCTGTTTCGACTTTGCAGCTGGCTCTGCAAGTGACTTCCAGACGCTGATGATAGCCAGATTTTTCGCGGGGTGAGCCAAATCCACACGAACATTGTACCACCGTACCTATGGCGTTTGTTGGGCCTCCTTCGACTTACAATCCTACTCTGTAGGTTTTTCGCGTCCGCGCCAGTAACGAACACGGGTGGGGTCTTAAGCGATTTGTTCCCGGCTTCGCAACGAGGTATTGCCATGGCCGCTTATGCCATGGCCGTGGTGCTGGGGCCAGGTCTGGGACCTATCGTCGGAGCAGCGCTTGTTGCCCAGCCTCAACTCGGCTGGCGGTGGACAGAGTACTTCTCGGGCATCCTCCAGATCACTGTGTTGATCGTGGATGTCATATTCATCGACGAATCATACCCACCTCGCCTACTGGTATACAAGGCACGACGCCTACGGCATCAGAGCGGCAACTGGGCACTCCACGCAAAGTTCGAAGAATGGGATATTTCAATCGGCGAATTGGCTCGTAAGGTTGGTGCTACGAACGCCATTCGAAAGATAACTCGACTTGGGCCGTGGGCGATGTTGACCGCATCTGATCTAGTTCTTAGTCCGGCCGATACAGCTATTGACAACGCCAATTTGTTTTCTGATGGCGCTCTACGCGAGCTTTTGCTACGGCATCCTATATATGCAGCTTGGTTCGCTCCCTCACACTCTATAGTTCTCTTCTCTTTCACTAACGTTCTGTACACAGGAGCGATCCCTCTCATCTTCGAGCAACACCGCGGCTGGAGAGCTGTCCCGGCATCGGTCCCATTCTCGTCGCTGCTATTGGGATCCTTTCTCGGAGCCGTCGTTAACATTTACAACCAAATCATCTACAACAACAAAGCGGCAGGGAAGGTAGCGCCAGAACTGCGCCTCCCACCGATGATGCTCGGATCAGTATTTTTCAGTGCAGGCTTGTTTGTCACAGGTTGGAGCGCGGATCCGTCATATCCTTGGATCGCGCCCGTGATCGGGATTGCCATGACCGGATTCGGCTTTTTCACCGTCTTCCAAGCGGCGCTTAACTACCTGGTCGACACGTTTAGTGGCTACGCGGCGAGCGCGGTGGCCGCCAACACGTTCCTGCGGTCGTGCTTTGCCGGAGCGTAAGCATTTTCCCCTGCCATTTCCCCTTTTCCTGTATGTGCGTTGTAGAGACGGAAATTAACTGACAACTTCCTCCCATAGATTTCCCCTCGTGATCGCTCCGCTCTACAATGGTGTAGGCATCCCGTGGGGCACGAGTATCTTTGGATTCTTCTCCATCCTAATGGTGCCCGTGCCGTGGATCTTTTACATTTTCGGCGAGCGGATCCGAAAGAAGGGTAAATGGAGTCGGTAGATACATATCCGAGTAGATGGAGACAAAGAAGAACTCCAGAGACTTGTTCCCATATTATACTCCCTTTAGTTGCTATCTAGCAGTTGGCGAGCTACCCATGTCGCTACACCTATAGGTGGTCCTAGGGAGTCACTTTTACAAACCGCTTCAAAAGCTAAGAAAGAGGGACAGCGATAGCAATCTAGGTAACGTCTTCATTATCTTTGTTGTCTTCATCACCGCCGGCGGGGGTGTAGGAGGTACCGCTTCCAGCCCGTTCAATGTCGGGAGGCCCAACTCCATGTCACTCGAATCCCGAGGGTTCTGGTGACGGGTGCTCATACCTCCACTTCCACCTTGAGCTCAAGTTAAAGCGGCGACGGTCAGGGCCACGCTCAGGTCCAGAGATGGAAATGGAAAGTCCTCGTGTCGAGATTCCGATGTCGAAATGCCTGTTTCTATTTCTCGGTTCAACTGGCCATACGCCGACTAGCTATGCATGCATGCGTGCTGCTCTAATTCTACAGGATACATGTAGCATCTCCCCGCCTTCGCTGCTTGCTCTTGAACTGGGCCCTTCCAACTCCTGACCCGGGAGGTCCAAAGCAGCTAATGAGCCCTCTCATCAGCGAGGAATTGTCCAGTCCTCCACCTGCGTAGCCCATGAGATTGCCAAGAAGAGAATAGCTTTCCGACCGCGATACAACAATCGAACTGTGTGAAGAGAACCGGCCATCCATGCATGTAAAACTATGCCGCTCGCAATGCAACTGCTGGTCCTCGAAGAACGTACTCCATATCCAGGCCATAACGGGTCATTGTATCGCGCTCCAGTCATGGCATCAAAGCCACAAGTAGAGACACAACTATATCGCAACCGTCTTCATCTCCCCCTCAATGCCGTTTACCCCCAGGCCTTTGACTTCAGGTTCTGGCTCTGTCGGAGTATTTTCCATGCTCTCATTGTTGCCTGCCGTTAGCACCCGAGTGAGCCGCGTCGAGGGGAAGTCTTTCAAATCCGCGGCCTTCAAAGAAGCCGGTGTTGGCACATCCACCAGCTTGTCTGCGTCGTCTTTGCTCGAAGGTGCTGCCTTTGGATCTATGGGTGCTGGTGCAGCTCGTTTCTTGCCTTCGGTGACAGACTGCTCAGCGGCTTCGGCGAAGTCTCTAACCACGTCACCGCCGGGTCGAATGGCCTGTGGCTGGGCAATCTCTTCCTGAACACGCGCTAGAGGACTGCCGACCGCGTGTCTTGGACTGCCCGTAGCCGGTCCTCTGGAGAATCGTTGAGGAGACCGGCCTCTATCTTCGCCAATGACCGGACTGCCGTATGGGGAATGACGCCCGTTTTGTGCTACCGTGCTAGTGTTGATGCCGCCTGGGTGAGATCTCCGTCTTGGTCCTCGGCGGCCATATTTCTGATCTGCTCGCCAACGCAAAATATCCATATAAGCCGGCTCGACAGCCTCGGTCCTGAATTCCCTCAATTTAAGCTCGCCCGTGTCCTCATCCACAAAGACCTTCTCGGTGCTGAGATCATCCGCCACAGTGGCCAGAAAGTGTGCCCATGACCGAGCAACGACATACTTGCAGTCGTAGTCACGGCCAAACAGGATAACCTGACCCCATTGACCCATGGGGCCTGGCGCTAGATCGATGGCGATGTTGTTCCCGCCCCAGTCCCTGGCCAGCGCAATCCAGCTGGGATGTGCATATGCCTTCTGAATCGCGTTTGGTGGTTGGGACTCCTGGCGATCGAGCAATTCTTGTCTCCAGAAGCGGTTCTGTGCGTGATTGGAGGACGAGGCACCATTGCTAAGGCCTTTGGAGCTGTAGGACGGTCTCCGTGCGCCAGTCAGGTACTCCTCGTTGACGACCTGCCAATTCTTCCATTCCTGTACAATTTCTTCACAGTCCAGAAGCATGCAACCGAAAATGATACCCGTCGGTCGACCACCGCGCTCTTGTCCGTCGTGAATGGCGAGCGAATCGCGGACGTCTTGCGGCAAGGACATGTTTAGCTCGTGTTCCAGCTCATTGATATCATTCTGTGTACACCCTTCCCCGAGCTGATCCCAGAGTTCAGTATAGTTCTTCTCGGCCCATCGGTCGATTTTTTTCCACGAGTGGGCGACTGGTGGTGGAGGAGGAGCGCCATCAGCGAAATTCTGCATTTGAATCTCGCCTGGAGAAACAACCTCGTCGATGCCAGCAAGTTTCGGCGAGTTTAAGGAGCGCATGCCCGGAGAGTAGGGTCTGTTGGGGGAATGGGCGACGTGGGACGAGGAGACAGAAGGTCGCTTCGCCTCTTGGTATGTCTGGGAGAGGTCTTGCTGGGAGTCAATAGCACTGGTTGCGACTGATGTTAGGGCAGCGTGTCGACTTTGTGCGACGGGGACATGCTGGCCCGTCCGGTATGGAGAGTCGTGCGAGGCGTGGCGGTCGTTAGAGGTCATGGTATGCCAGAAGGAGCGCCATGCTGTCGTGAGGCTGGAAGGGGTCAGTTTTGGCAGATGGGGAATAGGGAGGGATTACACACGAGTTTGCCATGACTGGCGACGCGGTGAGAGTAGTCGTTGCCACTTTGGCGGCCGTTGGCAACGGTAGCGGGGAGAATTACAATATCGATATTAGAATCGGCGGGTTCGAATAACTGACATTGGCATCCGGTAATGGGTGCGGTTGTCCCTGGGGTGGTTGCTGTGGTCACAACAAAGGCCGGCTGCGGTTGTATGTTGTGGCTCGCGGCAAACAACAAAGAAATGCTGGAGCTGACGGGTGGTTTGGCCGAGAACAGAACAAGGAAGCGTTGGTACACAGCAAGCCAGTGCGTTTGTGTATGTAGGGACAATGTTATTAAGGCAGTTAAAGGTGCGGGTAAGAGGGAGGAGGAGGATCGACCTGGAAGACGATGATTACAAGAATGTTGCAGGCACACCGCAACTGCAGCGACGTGACAACAAAAGGGGACACCTGCAAAATATGAATATGGGGAGCAGCGGGAGCCGCTAAGGGTCACGGTTACGGGCGCGCGCACCCCCTGCCCAAGCCTAAGCCCAAGCCTAAGCCCAAGCCTGAGCCCGAGCCCTAGCCCGAGGCCCAAGATGCGCATCACACATCATGCACATGACATTTTAGACGGCCGCGCTTAGCAAACCCACTCGTGCCCCCCTTGCCCACTCTGCGTGTCTGCCCATTTTTGCCTTCCCTAAACTTTGACAAGCATCCTGGCAATTGCTGGGGGCTCCGATGCTTTGGTGCAAATCATTTGTGTGCAAGCAGTGCAAGCCTTACCCATGCGCTCCCTGTCTGCGGAGTGCGTGCCCAGCATGGTACGGAGTGCTACCGAAGCAAGAAGCTGACGAGTCCCTCTGTGATAGCTACGATTACCGGCGACTCTTGCACTTGCAGCCCCTCCAAGACATTACCTCCTCGTATTCTTCCCTCGTTCAGCTGGCCTTCTGCCTTCAGGTGTTCCTTTGCGCAGCTGCGCCCCGGATCTGGACGCGTCAATCATCTCTCAATCGGCCTAAGCGATTAGTGGGGGCAACATGACCTGATGACGGATCCCATCGTCCAGAGTAGCAGGGCGCTGCTTCATGCGCTTCACAAGTCATCCATGAACGAAAATCACACAGTGCTTCCACTAGGTATTATCAGCTCTCCGAACCGCGTTTCACTACTCCGAGACGCGTCAACCTTATGGCTGCAATCAAGCCTTCTAGTGGCTCCGCTAACCGATACGTAGGTTGGAGTCCGCTGTCAGGAGATTAGATGATAGGCTAACGGGCACGGCCAGAGGCTCTAATAAAGGGGCTTCGCACCCATAAAAGGGGGAACATTTATCACCGAAGCGGGTTCGCTATCGTGATTTGCTGTGTGCGAGGTCAAAGAGAATCAATTCCAGCAGTCTTCGAGCCAAAGACTTCCTCTACGCACATCAGCTTGTCTCGGATACAAATCCCACACCTTTCGATCAATTCCTCGTTACTCGGTATCGCCTTTCCGGAGTCGCCTCGAAGCGACAATACCGGATTTGTGGGCGATCTCCCTGTTCGGGGCAAATCCTTCGTCCGATCTCAAAGGTGCAAACGCCATACTAGGCCTGCAGGTTCAAGACATGCACAGAACCAGTTTGAGTGACGGGATGCTATTCTGGCGACAATCAAGATTTTCGATGCATGGCCGGCTCAATCGAATAGTCTGGACCATGTCTAGGATGATCAGGGACGATCACCCTTGGGCAAATCCTATCAGATCACATTCTAGGGGACACCGGACCCCTCAATTACTTCATCTACCCGCCTAAGTATGGAGTATCCACTTCTATATGCGTTCACTGTAGTGACTGTCCGCTGCGATGGCCTGCGCAGTCCACTTCATTCGACACATATTTGAGCACTACAGTCGGCAGCGCAGCATTCGTGTCGTGCCTGGTACGGCCAGGCACATTCTAGGCACTTGAACATTCGACTTATGAGAGATTGCCTGCTTTCCTAGAGCCTCATGAAGCAACGAGATCGACTGCCAATCGGTGAGTTTCGTCACGACTAATGCAGGTACACAAGACATTCCCGTGGCCCAGTCCTTGCCTGATTGCATGGCGTTGAGATAAGTATAGCTTACTCTGCATAAACGCAAAAACTCCTGACCAATTAGATACCCCTAAGTTTTCTCTGTTTCCTGTTTGCATCAGGTATGAACAGAAAACGCCACCTCGAATACAGTATGATATGCGCTAAAGCAGATGCCGAAGGTTGACCGCACGGAACCCGGTGGAGCTAACCAAGATTCGTACGCTACCCAGTACGAGGTTCAACCCAGTATACACAGTAGCCAGTGATACGGAGTACCGAAAGGATCTACCTGCGTCAGCACGTCAGCAGCCGAGCGCTTTGGCCGTCCCGGAAACCTCAGCCCCGCTGTAATGCCATGCACAGCGGCGACTCAAAGCCTCACAGTCAACGCCCAACGATCTAGACCCCTCCAAGCATCTCCTCAGAGCCGGATATTCTGGGATGACCACAACATCCGAGAAGGACGGGTATATTCTCTCCTACGCCATTGTTGCAGCTTGAGAGCCCACCCGTCGGATCGAAGGAATGGAATACCCATCTCCGCCATTCATCAGCTGTCGCGCAATGCCTTCATACCATCCTACGAGGTACTGTACCCGAACTCCTGCTGACTATTCAGTTCGGTCCCCGTGCCATCACTTTCGGCAACGCCCCAGTTTGTCATCTACGCCATGCCGTGGTAAATACTAACCCCCAGTGGCCACCTCCGCAGCCTTGAAAATGCTATGTCATGGTCGACATTGGGGTCTACCAGAGAAGGATCTTCACTAAGCTACAGTAGAACCTATGGCCAGAAACATCTGATGGTGGGGAAATCTCTCATGGAACGGGCGCCCAGAACGGGATCCCCAAGGGAAACCGGCTTGCAGTGTCACGCAAGCCGCTTCGAGGAGCAACAGAAATGCCTCACGCTTGATCACCACGTATTTCAGGCCGCCCTCCTTCTCTTCAGCTGCCCGTTGCCGTATCGAGTCTCGCGCTTGAGACGTCGAAGGAGCAACGGAAGTCGTCCTCTACGTCGAAGCTCTTGCATCGGTACATAAAGTACGTATTCTTGAGAGACATGAGCGAGGCGAACGCCTAGCCCACAAGTATTAATCAGCTAGCGAACAGGGCAGAGCGTCACAATAACAACCAAGAGAGCTACAATGCCTTCACTTCGTTTTTGAGTACATGTCTGAAGAAACTAAAAGAAAAAAAGAAGAGGGGTAGAGAGCGAGCAGAGTCAAGGACAAGAAGACTGGCAAGTGCCACTAGTCCCAGTCGGGCCTAGTGCCACCATGTGACATTACGGACCGCCGTGCCCGCGTTGATTGCGTTCTTCGCCTCCCCAGTCCTCTTAATGGTTACCATTACTGAAAACGTGATGCAAGGCTGATGATAGAGTCTCATGAACGGTTGAAGAGATGAATAAATGAGTAAGAAATCTTGTCAGTCTGGGCAAAATTCTATCCCTGTCTTACTTGGAACAAGCAAGCGCTATTCCATCCAAGAACATCGAGCGCGGAGTAAATATACACTCTGCAGCGGCTGCACATGCTCAGAATAGTTGCTCCGCTTGCATCCGCTCCCCTGCTTCTCCCGCTTCCATCCGTCAAGGCTCTCTGGAGAACGACATGAAATCTTTTCAAAGGAAATACACAAAAAACAGGACAAGGTGACACACAAGACCACCAAGTAACGTTCTTCAAATGGCCTTCAACCGCCGTGCAAGCAGTAAACTCATCATGACAAAGAGTCCAATCCCGCCTAGAATGCCAAAGAACCAGTACAAGCCCTCCGTGTCCTTGCCTGGAACGTTGACGTTCATGCCGAACAACCCTGTGATGAGGTTTAGCGGCACCAATATCGTGGCCAGAACAGTAATCTTGGCCAGATTTTTGTTGGTGCGGTTGCCCTTGAGGATATTGTCCACGTTCAGTTGCGCCAGGTAGTTGGCGTGGGATCGCGAAAGCATCTTCTCTACGTGGCCCAGATTCGACATCATGGTCACGACGTGGTCCTGGATGTCGCCCAGGTACAGGCCGATGTCGCCACGGGGAGTCATTTGATACTGGTCATTGCAGCGTTTTGCAAACCCCTTGATGACGTCAGCCTTGCCGCCCAGCAGACGCATCAGGTTGAGAACACATTTGCGACATTCGCCGATCTGTCGAAGGAGTGCGAGGAAGTCGTCCTCGCGCGCGATGAAGACTTGGTCTTCGATACTCTCAGACTCGTTCTCGGCCTCACGGATGATGGGTGCGAAGGAGTCGACAATGTCGTCGATCAGGGCGTAGCAGATGTAGTCTGGACCAACTGAGAGGAAGTCGCCGAGCTTGGCGATTCGCTTGCGCACGTTCTTAGCGTGTGGATTTGGCGTGTAGCTGAAGCTAAGGACTCCATCGGCGCAAACAACAATGTAGACGTGAATTGCATCCAAGAAGTCCTCGTGGCCTCGATCCATATTGAATGAACGGAAGCACACAAAGTAGTACTGAGAGAAGAGCTCGACCTTCTCGCGGGCCTCCTGTGTCTCGATATCTTCCTGGGTGAGACGATGGATCTTGAAAGCCTTGCAAAGAACGGCGAGTTCTGCCTTGGTCGGGTTGAGCACATCTAACCACCATACTCCGCCGTCCGGTCCGACGTCGAACAAGTCGCGGAATGTGGTACCATCGGCAACAAAATCTCCCAATTTGTTCGCCCGTCGCCCCTGGGTCAGTTCGGAAGAGAACAAGAAGAACCGGTCATTGCGCTTGGCGGGCAGGTGTCCGGGCTTGCGCGCAGTTTTCTCCTCGTCCGAGGAGGGAGGATCATGGCTCGAATCATGCTGCGTGAGGGGCTTTTCGAAGAAGGATTCACCATTAAGGGCTGCGTTGGGCGGCTCGTGGTTGCCACTGTGGTGCTTTCGCAGATCTCCAAAAGTCCGGCTTTCGGTCGAAACCTCAGTGATCTGATCATCCGGAATCTTCCCCTGCGCGCTAAGGACGACAAATTCCTCGAGCTCTTCGAAGTCAATCTTGTAAGTCTTGCCGGGTTCCTCGTCAGTTGGGAAAAGGTCCTCTTCGTCATCATCCCTGTCGGTGCGATGTGTAAGTGCAGCAGCAGGGATACTAATGTTGCTCAAGGTTGGACGTCTTTGATTAGTGCCTCCTGAATAAGTCCGGTTGCGGAACTGGTTCAAGACTGAAGACGAGTGACTTTCGGCGGTGTTGGCACGTTGTCTTCGACGAGGTTCGGCGAATGCCTCGACAGAGTTGGCCGGCGATGTAGACCGCGACGAGGAGCTATCTCGTGAGCGATCATGCTTTGCTGCGAGCCGCGGGGTTCGCGCCTCGCGATTGTTGGTGTACCTCCTCGTGCGAAAGGAAGGGCGCCTCACGCTACCTGGGAAAGGGTCATGCTCTCCATCACTCTTGTATTCGTCGTCGATGGCATGCTCGAAGTCCCGGGTGATTGGATTGCTCTCTTGGTCGCGCGAATTAAGTAAGGCATCGTCAACAGACAGGAGCTGCCTCTCTCCAATCTCGCTTGGTCTTGGTGTAGGGCCTTGCACCTCGACCGCGGGCACATTCAAGGTCCCATGCGCCGGTTGGACACCCAAACTATTGCGATGGTCATCCAGCTCGGGGGCAGGGGTGCTGTATCGGCTGTCCATTCTCTCCTCTGGAAGGGATCCGGAGGACGACATATTGGGCGTGGTCTCTGTTTGGAAAGGGGCCCGGACCGCAAGGACAGCACCCTAACGGTGCCAGGTACCTCGAAAACTAGGCCACTTTGAAGAGTGTTCCGGCGATATTCTCGCCCGGCAAACAAGGGGTTTGATTGTATCCAAAACAGACCGACCTCCTCTTTCAGATATTCAGACTAATGAATGTCCCCCTGGGCCAGCACCGGCCAGGGACACGATGAAAGCTCCGAAGGGCCAGTTATGGGGGTCGAGTGGTTGCACCGGTGAAAACCATGAGAGATGTGCCTAGCAGAGGGCGGATTAAGGAAGAGAGGACTGTGTAGCCCGCCAACTTGAAGGTGGATGGGAAGAGAACGTCGCTGTCGAGCGCCAGGGTGATGGGCTTGCTACAAGAATAGGAAAGACTGAAGACAGCCTTCCTATGCCTTGGATTGGATTGTGTGGATTGTGTGAAATGTAGCTTAAAAATGGACCGACCCTTGGATACAAGTCGGTCGCCAGAGGATGGTGGTCGGTATAAACGAAGACCTCGGCCAGAGAATCCGACGTCAGCACAGGAGATTGCTGCAGGGTGCAGGAGTTGATGAGAAGTCTCCGACGTATGTCGAGGACCTCAATGGGTTAAAGAGTGTGCAAAAAGGTGGGGGGCGATTGGACGGTTGTTATGCGACACGATGTCACTGGGGGCAAGCAGGAAGGAAAAATTGGTGAAGAAAAAGAGAACAAAAGTCTTACAGGTTGCAGGGGGTGGAGAGACGGAACCAGCGTGACTCTTTCCCTTTAGCGAGGTATTTTTGCCTCTTCTTGGTGCTACGCTCGCAACAGCCAGTCACGGTGCCTGGAACTCATCAAGACCTGGACGGTCTTTGGTGCGGTCAGTCACCGAGATCGCCTTGCAGTGCCTGTCCAACCCGGACCCGACGCCCACTGACGCCCCAAGAAATCTGAACCTGCAGTCACTCCACTCGTCTGGAGAGCTTGTTTCGAAGCCAAATTCCACAAACAACGTGACGCGCGGGGAAGGACAAAGACAAGGACACCTTTGCTTAGTCGATAACCACCAAATGCAAGGCACACTGTGTGACTGGACTATTGTCGAATATGGACGCGATTATCTCTCAGCTGCAGGACCTCTTCGAGGGCCAAATTGTAAGTCTCAACAACCAGCCGACTCTCCCTTTTGTCCTTACCTTGAGCCATCCCTGACTCGGCATCTAGGATTTCGATGGCCAACGACTTGCGGAGACGACCTCCACGATTATTCTTACACTCTCTTCGGTAAGGCTGTTCCACCAAAGTCCAATCATGGCGTCGGCGTGATCGCGTTGGCAGCTGATTAACACGCTTGCAGGTTCTTGCTTTCGTCGCTGGCTTCGTTCAACAAGACATCTACCTGATCATGTGGATTGGACTGGCCGGTACCGCTCTGGCTATGCTGCTTGTCGTTCCCCCATGGCCTATTTACAACAGACATCCCCAACCATGGCTCGGCTCCAAAGCAGCCTTGCCTCCAGGTGGGATCGTGGTGGGAGGGAAAGCTCGATGAATTGAAATAGAATGGTCATGAGTCATTGTTATTGAGCTCCGGCCTATCTACGGCGACCTCCTAGCCTCTTCGCTGGTGATCTGGATGTTGTCAGGCGTGCTCCCACTGCCCGGGCATTGCCGGGCCATATCTCATCAAATTCTTCACAGACCCCAGAGACTTGTAGCTATGCTCGCTTCGGAAGCCACGGCTGACTCACCAACGCCTCTGGCCGATTGCCACAGCTCTGTGGAGTGGTATGACTTCAGCTTGGGAGGCTGCTCCGTGCAAAGGCCACGCTCTTTTGAAGGAAATCGCATCCTGGTCTCTTCCCCAATGCAACTACCTTCCGTACTTCTGGAATTCCCAGTCTCTGTTGTCAAGTGGGCAAACTTGTCGGGTCTTCAGCCAGCGTGAGATACAGTGGAAGTGAAAGGCATGCTAGAACCATCTTCAGCGGCTTGAACCATGGCGGCCAAAAGATATGCTTACATTGCAGATACCCCACGCGACTGTACATTCTTCGTTTGTAGCAGCGCCTTGATTTGCTTGACACTCAATGCCTGTACCGTTGTCAGCGCTCAGGCAGATTGATCGGCGCGCACGCTGTCTGGCTTACAGAGATCCATGATGTGATTCCGGCAAATGGCGCAGTTGTCAACGACAATATCCCAAGCCCAGAGGGCAACCGCATTCCACTGTAGACATTCAGTATACATGTTTAATATTGATTCCTGGTGAGGCAATTGACCTTCTTCACTTCGAATCTCTTCTTGGTGTCGCCACCTTCGGCAGCGCCACCTTTAGACGCCTTGACGGGGACCTTAGCCTTGGCTTCGGTGGAAATAGCATCCTTCATCTCAACGTCCGCCATCGTGATGTCTTTGAGGAGGAGCAACTCAGATCAGAAGGACCGGAATGCGGGGCGGTAGAGGTTAGGAGCGTTCGGTTCAGTAGGTATAGCTCTGGTCGTTACCGGGGAGGAAGAGACGAAAGAGAAGTTGATGTTGAGACGGTCAACCTCAGAAAGATAGAACAGCAGTCCAAAGGCACTAACAATTCAGCACCGACTGTGGAGACAATCTTGGACGCATACAAGGCTGCCGTGGGCTGAAGTGAATCACGACGAGGCTGTAACTGCAGCCAACAAAGACTGGACAGCCCCCCAGCGTGGCGACAGGTCCTCGGTTTTCTCCTTGCAGGTGACGCCATGGCCAATCGACGCAGCTGAGGACCCGCGCCTCCCAGCCGCGAGCCACAGCCGCCGCCTTTCTGAGACGCTTATTATGGTTCCCGCCTCCCACCATTACTGTGGCCAGCCTGCGTCACCCATCCTCTCCTCACATTCACACTCATCACCAGACCGGCCGACACCCTACCATCCTTACTCTACATCCGACAAAACCCTGCATCAGCCCGTCACACTTGACCCGCCCGATTTCTAGACCAGCTAATCTGCCGCGGCGAGAGACCTGGTCGTTCAAAGCATCAAAACAACAAGACAACCAAACAATGAACACTTACACGTCCATGTACAAGCACATTTCACAACAACCACGACAACCCAGTACCTCAGCACCTTACGCTTCGCCGCATCGAAAACGCTCAAGATAGACAGCCACTGCTAGACTCGGCGGTTCCTTCTTGTCTATTGTTGTATATGCGTATTTGAGCGTTGTCGCATTTCATTTATCTCTTATCTGATCAGGTCCTGGGCTGCCGATTTTATCAAGCCCCAAACACGCTCAACAATGTCTGCGCCAATCACAACCCCCAAGCAGCCAGCTCAAAAAGCTCCTCGTCGATCTGGGAGGAAGCATCGACCCTCGGAAGCTGACAGCCTGAGCCTCGATGGCTCCGCAATCCCTTCTCTCCCTTCTGCCGCAGGGCCTCAGCGCAACCCCTCCCCCGCTACGGCCAACACAACAAAGAACAACAGCAATAAAGCCCAGCAACGTAACTCCCCGCAACCTCTCAACAAGCATCAGTCGGCAGTTAAGCATGTCAACAACAACAATCCACACTATGAGAAAGCAAAGGCCACACCAACACCGATGAAGCCAGCCGCGTACGCCGGTTCGACCTTTCAACAGTCCCCAGCTGCATCCGCTCTTCCTCTTCCGAGCTTTTACTCCAAGTCTCTGCCTACTGCAGCCTCCATCCCGTTGAAGGTGGCTGATGCGGAGTCCCCCAGCGCCCAGGCAGCCACAATCACGCCTGCCGGCGAGTCACCCAGCAAAGCTGAAGCCACACCTTGCGATTTCCTTTTCCAAGCAGCGCGACAGGCGAGAGCGAATTCTCGAGCTGACAGCCCTGCCACTCGGGCTGGCAATGTTTCCGTACTCAACGGAAGTCCCGCTTCCAGATCCCCTGCTCCACGCGAAGGAGACCCCATGTTCCCATTTGAGTTGGACGGCGCAACACCCGGTGAAGATGGTTCAGCCTTTGCTACTCCCTTCAAGGATCGTATTGCAGCTGCACGGTCGACATCAACAGGAGGCAAAAGTATGAACGACGATGAGCGCAAAGCGAAGACTGAAGCGTTGAAAAAGCTTCTCATGAAGTCGAGTGCGCAAGAGAACAATCACGTGGCCAGCCATAATCCCAACACGAACAACCCCTTCAACGCCCGGGCGCCATATTCGAGGACTCCTGCCGTTTCGCAGCCGTCCGGCCCCGCCCGGGCCACTTCAAACCCATCCACACCGCTATACTCTCAAGACGTTGCAGGCCCCTATCCTGTACACAATTTCGGCGCCGTGGGCTACCCATTTCCCACCCCTCAGACGCAGACGCCCAAGAGACCGAACTCTTCACGCTTGCGACATGTGTATGGAGCTCAGAGCGAGCCAGAGTATGCAGAGCTGTCCTCTGACAGTGCGGTGACACCACCATCTTCGTCCCAAAGGAATACAACCCACCATCAACAGCCGCCGCAGTACAACCCTTATATCAGCCATCCACAAATGCCCACTCATCGAGCCAAGCCTAGCGCGCAACAGCTCGAGGATGACTTGAGAAGAGTGCTGAAGTTGGATCTGGTTTCGCGCGGATGATTTATGCTGGGCGACGACGCCTCCGATATTGACCTGCAATAGTATTTCTGTGGATGATATTGTGCCACACATTTGGAAAACAAGGATAAAGGACACTCTTTTGAGGAGGATCTCATTTGTCGTGAATGATGACACTCGTACTCATGATTCTGCTAGCCATTCGTTTGAAGCTGATGTCATTCTCTATACTACATTCCATATTTGCCAAGACTCCGTAAGCCATCCGTTCGAAATGTCATGGGTATCATTGGCGGACTGCCTCTCAGACGCCATCACCACCACTCGGCCATCCTCATAACGTTCCGCGCTTCCGTGCTTCACCTCCGTGAGGACCACTTCGCGCTACTGCCTAATGGTCGCCGTTCCTCGACAGCATAGGCATCACATAGGCATTCTGCCCGTTGCCAGACTCGAAATGGCGACGCTGACTGCTCTCCGTCGTAACCTGTGCCTTTCGCCGTCCGGGATGCTTGGCATAGCTGGCCGAACAGATCGTTACGCCATGCACGCCACCCGGTTTCACCCAGTTGCTGGGGACACTCGAAAGTTCGCCTTGATAGTCTGTGCCGCTATCCTGAGCAGCACGGCCCAGGAGAGAGCGGTCCAACCTTCTCAACGCCCTGTTTTCGTGGTCATTCATTAGGTACCTAGACACTTTCCCAGCCAGCTCAATCACTGCTCGCACAGCCGCGACACCCACAATTCACACACTGGATACCGCCACCACCTCCTCCTCCTCCCCCGCCACCACCGTCCTCTCCATCCCCCCTCTTCAACGTCGCCTTGGGCACGCGACAAATACACGTCCCCGCAAAGTTCGTCTCCTTGGTCTGCACGCACCGCAGACAACACAGCTTCTCGTACCCCTGTTTCTTCCACTTGGCAATCAGCGCCGCGTCCGCGTACCCGTTCTTGAGCAGCCACTCGTACAGCTGCTTGGAGATGGCCTCGCGGGTGTAGTACAGGTCGTAGACGTAGCGGGAGCGGGCGTGCGAGATCTGGAAGATCGGCCAGAGGACTTCGTGTTTCTTTTTGCCCTCGTGCGAGGCGTTTTGCGCGTCGCGCATCTTGTTGCTGTATTCGAGGAGGGTGTCTTCGATGTCGTCGAAGCCCGCCGGGGGTGGCTTTTTCGAGGCGCGCGCGCGCACGGGCGGCATGGTGCTGGTGAAAGGCGGAATGGGTTGTTATGTACAGGAGATATCTTCAGTTTCTTCGAGGCCTCTGGAGTTTCTACTGATATACTCCGTATGTTCGTAATGGTCTTCTAGCGAAGGCGAGAGATTTGTCCTCGAAAACAGACGGGAGGGAAAGCGGCAGGCAAGGCTGCGGCTTGCAAAGAGGCGGGCGGCGTGGTAGGAAAAAGCGGCGGCAATGACGTAGACGGAAACTTGGCCGAGGCTCGTCAGCCTTGCCCGCTTCATCTACACAGTAAAGCAGCGAGGCAGCAGTGACTCGCCTTTCATGATCTGTTCCTTCGACCGGTTGAGATTGCTCCATTCATTTTCCACAACCCAGACTACATGACCACCTATGGAAAGTGCGCTCTTCATTCGGAGACTGCGCCAGCACCGTCTGAGAGTACCTTCCTCGCCGAGCGTGGAGCCCGGCTTGGGATCCTTCCTCATCAACTCTACCCTCCTGGGGAACCAAGATTCGATCGCACATTTGAACCGTCGACAACCGGAGCGCGACCGGTTGGTGGTTCTGCCCTTACTTACTTTCTCTAATGCTTCCTGCATGACCGCCTCGCTCTCCCTATCTAGCGCACTTATGGCCTCATCAAGCAGTAATATCTCTGGATCTCGAACCAGTGCGCGAGCGATCGCCAAGCACTATCGTTGGCCACGGAAGTGCAATACCATGAGTCCCTACGTCAGTACCATTTCCTTTCAGGAGGCACTGGAGGAAATCGTGGATGTTCGCGTCTTTGCTTTTGAATGAAGCGTTCTCGCTCAACTTCAAATGCTTCAGCGATCCCAAACAGGGCATTGTCGCGCATGGATCCCTGGTACAGAGTTATGTGCTGGGACAGGAGACCTTCTCCTCCAGTGTTAAAACTCGACACGATCCTGATTGCACTTACCGTCTCAGCGCCGAAGCTCGCGCTCTCCAGGTATAGATTGGTCATTCGCTCCTGGCTCGTAAGCTCGATACGCAAGCGAACAAGTCCGGCAAGGAAAGAAAGGCCGCAGACACCTGAAAATCGTAGACACCGCGGTCTTCCAGGCCTCTGGAACGCGTATCAAGATACTGATACAAGGGTACAATACTGTGGTCTGACGTTTGTGCAGGTGCATCTGGCGACCGAGGCTCTGCAGCGGCGGTTCGAACTCACCTTGATGACGATGTCTTGCGGGAGCGGGATGTCGATGTGGTGCAGGAGAGTGTGGTTGGGTAGCCGACGCCGCCATTGACGGGGTTCACCCTGCTTCGACAGAGGCAGTAGCGGCATTGGTGTCTAGTCTAGTATTGTTTGCTCCTGTCATTGATAGTGTCGGCGGTCCTGGTGTCTTAGTGTTCTTCTACAGGAGAGTTGACTATTGCTACTCGACATAGCATGTGGTTGGTCCACGCAGTCGATCTTGCTAACGCTCAGTGAGCTTGTGCTCCAGGCACCTAGGTGCCGGGCCTGCAGACTATTGACGGCGTCGTGTCGATGAGTCACGGTACAGTACGGAGTAGTTGATTCGGGCTTCTGGGTCGGTGATCGACTGAAGTACATTCGGTCCCTGATCGACCGGAATAAATAGAACGATCGACAAGCCAAGAACGGCATCCCGTCAATGCAGGGACACGAACCAGTGGCCAGAATATCGCGTGTATGTATGGCCGGTGATGATCTTACCTAGGTACTCGTAGCCAGCAAGCTAATTCTCGTCCCTGGCGGTCCGCACACCAATCACTCGCCTCTAACCAACATTATCCAAAACGAGCGTTATGACCCATGTCCTTGGATTCAGAAATGCTCTCCAAGCGAACGCATTGCTCAAGTGGCAATGCAAGAAGAGCAGCTCTCGGTGGTCTGAGCATTGAGTGGCAATTGCAGCAACTGCCAATGACAAGCGGCATGTCGCCAGGTCCAGCGTTCGCCGTGCGTTGCTGTGCTGTCCTCATACCCGTTCAGACGTGATTTGCGATTAAATTGCTGGAATTGTCTCGGCTCACGTTCACAGTGCCTCTACGGGCCATGGGTATACCGTGTACGTGAAGACATTAGGCCCGGATCGCAGCCTCGCTTCCACAGATCACCACGGGTCTGGACATACCGAAGCAGGATTACTGACAGATTGATTGATTCGTTCACCGCCGCCGGCACGCAAGTCTCAATCTCAACCATCGAGTGTCGCCCGCCCTATATCTACAGCGCCAGGCTGCCTTCAGGCCGGCGCGTCGCAGGAGGTATGATGCGGCTGTCGATGTCAATGTCGACGTGGTGCTCGTGCTCATGCCGTATCCTTCCGCCGCCACGATGAATACGATCTTGACATCGATTACCACCCTCCTCCTACTAGTACATCTCTCGTCCGCCGCGTCCGGCACCTTCGACATCCTCACCTACAACATCGCGGGCCTACCTTCCTTTTTGACAGATAACGGTGTCCCAGGCGACAAGGCCACCAACGCAGCGACCATCGGCTCCAAGTTCGCCGAGTACGCCTACGACGTGATCCACGTGCAGGAGGTATGGATCACCCCCAAGGACCCCCGGGGACATACTGTGTCCACTGACTCATAGATCTAGGATTTCGCATACCACTCAGCCCTGTACGAGCATGACAACCACGCCTACCGCACCGTCACGTCCGGCAACGTGCCGCTGGGAAGCGGCCTGAACACGCTCTCCCAGTACCCGTGGACGACCTTCGCCCGCGTGCCATGGAACACGTGCTTCCTCAACGAAGCGGACTGCCTTACGCCCAAGGGGTTCACGTTCATGCGCCTCCAGCTGCCATCAGGTGGCGTGACCGTCGATCTGTACAACTTGCACGCCGACGCCGGGGACGAGCAAGGGGACAAGAATGCCCGACACGCCAACGACGAGCAGCTCCTCGCGTATATCGCTGCCAACTCGGTCGGGCGCGCGGTCGTCATTGCCGGCGACTTGAATGATCGGTATACCGAGGCGGGAAGGAGCATTGATCTCCTCACGAGGGCAGGGTTCCATGATGCATGGATCGAGCTTGTCAGGGGTGGAAGCGAGCCCGCAGCTGGCTCTCCTAATATCGACTGTGGAATCCCGGCGGGGAGGAATGATTGCGAGGATGTGGATAAGATATTGTGAGTACTCTTGTGTGGATGTGGATGTGATGATGTGTTCGCGTCGGCGCTGTGTGCTGATATTGTCTTCCCACAGGTATCGCTCCGGCGACTCGGTCGGCTTGTCGGCGCTCAACTACATCCACGTGGCGAACAAGTTCGTGCAGCCCAACGGGGAGCGGCTCTCGGATCACAATCCCATCAGGGTGGAGTTTGCATGGTCGACGGCTTGATTTGTCGATGATGACGATCAAAAACATGATTGTCATGATGTGTTCCTAGGTCGAAGAACAGGGTGTCGCGCTGTGTCATACTCTGTCGCTCGCACTCGGTGTGGGTGGATGTTGTGTAGCAGCGGTTGGGGACGGGAGGACACTCGACTGCCTTTCGGTAGACCAGTAACTCTTTTTGAGAATGAATGTGAGTGAATTAGTCAATGACCGTTGTCTTGCATTTTCACCTTGTATTCCTTCTTGCTCGCCAACTTTACTTGGCTTCACGGCGTTCCGTGTTTTATCGCTTGTTACTCGCACACCTGGGTCGTAGCGTGCGTGTATATACGTTTTATGATTGGTGTATAAGTACATATCCTGACACCACCTCCTGTGTATCCATAGCTGGACCCCCGGTACCGATCTTGCTATTTACATACATTTCTAGATACATACATAGACATTTTCTGTCGAAACAACCTTCGGCAAAAGGCTACGATTACACAGACAAAGTCAGAATATTACATTTAATCACATCACCTCCTCAGCAACCTTGCCAATACGCCCCTCTTCACCTCACTTTCCGCGACCTCCTCCGCACTTCGCACCGGGGAGTTTTCCTTCCTCTTGTACAAAGCCCTGTGCTCCTCGTGGACGTCGTGCTCGGCCTCGTAATCGACGTGGACGAATGCCCGCTCCACATCCGCCAGCCCCTCCAACTTGCGCTGCAAGCTCTGGCTCACGTCGTGCGTGACCTTGAGGGGCTCCGTCTCGGCCATGACAATGTCTACCTCGGCATAGAACTTCTCGCCAGCATGATACGCGCGGACGGTGTCGATCTTCTGGATCCGCGCGTCGTGCGTCACGCTCACGTACACCAGCTTGTTCAGCATGTCCTGCGGCGCCGACTTGCCCACCAGATACCACATGTGCTCAAAGGCCGTCGAGGCCCACGACCACAGGATCAGCAGCGCGATGCAGATGGCGCCCACGGGGTCGAGGTACCATACCTTGCTGAAGCGGCTGCCGACGATCGACATGGTCAGGCCGAACAGGTTGACGGCAATGTCGTTGCGGTGGTCGATCATGAAGATCCGCGCCGCGGGGTACCGGCGCAGGAGGAAGCAGTACACGAACAGACAGCCCTTGGAGAAGATGGCCGTCGAGACGAACGTGATGGGGATGACGGCCAGAGGTTCTGTATCTGGGGCGCCGCGGCCCAGTGCGCGGGCGGACTCGATGATCAGCTGCACGGCGACCGTCGTCATCAGGGCGCAGAAGAGGATGATCCCGACCGTCTCGACGCGTTTGCGCCCAACGGGGAACTTGGCCAGCTTGGGCCGTGATCCCATCCGCGTGGTGATGAGCATGACGACCGAGCTGACGAGGTCCATCTAAGAGCAGTCAGTGGGATGTGGTACAAGTAGTAGAAGGGTGACATACGAATGCGTCCGCCGCGGTGGCAAAGAGAGCAGGCGACCCGGTCGAGATGGCCGCATACATCTGGATGACAAACAGGCAGAAGTTGCATGCGAAGCTGGCGTTGACGGCGAATCGGACCTTGCCCCCGTTCTTGAGACGGTCTTCGGCTTCGAGTTTTTCTTCATCGTTGCTGCCTAGGTAGGCGTCGATGAGGGCGTTTTGACGATTATCTGTATTGTTGTTAGCGCTCAAGATCCGGATCAGGCAGAGGTAGCGGTCAAGACTTCCGGTCCAGCGGTCGTAGACTTACAGTATTTCTTCACCCGAGTTTGCCTGCGGGAAGAGAGCTTGTTGTTTGATTCACCAAGGCCTTCGCTGTCGACCTTGTAGCCCTGTAGGGAGTAAGGGTCTTTGGACGAAGCGATCTGATCCTCGTTGCTCTGCTCTAGGCTCCTGGACCCTGGCCAGACCCAGCAGAAACAGAGATAACTTCATCCGCTGGTCCGTCTCCTGGCCGTTGCACAGGTCCACTGGCAGGCACCGTGGAACCCGCCGGTGGCTCTTCCTGAACGATGTGGTCCTGGCTCTTGCTATCGATTGATGGAGACATGTTGATCCAGGGATGAGAGCTCGCATGCCGCAGAAGTCGATAATGTGGTAGGAAAGGAAAGACTGAGTAGCGGAAGGAGAAGCAACCGTTGCTGAGCGGTAAGGAAATGCACGCGGGTTTGGAAACTAACGTGGGTCGTTTCTCCACGTTTACCTTATACATTTGACACACACCAGTCTTGTAGGTTTGCTCGCCAGTTCGGCTGGAAACTTAGCGACGTCAGGCTCGGCATGCCCAACATAGCAAAGCTTGGAAAAGACTTGACAATCTGTAACAGATTTGTAGCAGGGTGCTTTCAGAGCACCATCGCGGCAACGATATCCATGGACGTAGACGTGTTCGGCTCTTGGCTGAGCGGGATACAGGTGCTCCGAGTTTGAACTCTAGCTGGATTGGGTTCTGAAATCACAAATCGGGATGTTTACAGTCGGATTAGTACTTCGCTTGCAGTCTGGATCTCCGCTGCCAAGAGAGGAAGACATTGAAAATGTTTGAAGTCTCCGGGTTTTGCGATTTCAGGCGCGCCAGAGGAAACCGTGATGAGCGGAGAGCGGAGCCTTGGGAGGCGTTGCTTGTCATGGCTGAAGCAAACGCCACAGTGCGGATCCGGGGAAGCAAGTAGGAGGGGGCATCAAAGAGGGCCCTCTACCCGTACCGAGCGCGTAGCTTGTCCGACTTGCGGGCGGCAAAGAGGAGGTCGGACATGTTGAATATGGGAATCGACGAAGCGGGAACAGCTTCACCTTCACCTTCAGAAAGCGAGACGCAAAAAGCCGTTAGCGTCAGTATGGAGTACCATGGGGCCAATCCTATCGCAGCAGGCTGAACCCAAGCCTTGCCCTGATCCGCTCGCCAAGAAGGATGCACCGGCTCCGAGATCCAGATGCATTTTAATTGACAAATCAGTCAGCACCAATATCGAATCCTGGATCGTTAGCTAGCGCCGCTTGCTCGGGAATGGATGACCCACTCAGCTGACGATACTGCTTTGGAATGAGTGAGGCTGGACGATAACCAAGAAGGTCCTCCGAGAGCTGTCGACTTGTCACAGCTTGGATTCCGCGCCTTGATGATGAGTAAAGGCAGGGAAGGAACATGGTTGCCCAGTTGAGGGAGAGACTGCTGGTACTTGAGAGGTTTCAGAAATCACTACGAGGTATTGAGGGTTGTCGACCGGGTGGACACCGCATCCTCCCGGCAAGTATACCATTGTCCAGTCGCTTTACTGCTGCCTTCAAGATATGGTACTGGCAGCACCGTGCGCGGCAGAACTTCACATTGAATTTGCTACTTCTTGACTTACAGCTCAGTACAGACAGAGAGGTTTGTATTCCAAACAAGCTATGCATCGAGCTGGAGGTGTCCAGTAATACTATATCCATTCCGCCGTCCGCAGAGAGCCTCGTTCGTTTTTGCCTGTGTTGATCATTGTAAGCTCCTGATGCTCCGAGACAATCTAGGCCCCAGACACTGCTGTCTAGGTTTCGACCGTGGAGAAGGCTGGACAGATGTGATGCTGCTTGGCGCTCTTGGATGGCAATAGAAAAGCTTGAGTTCCGCGCATTTGGATTGGAAGAATTTCCCTCCTTCAGGCTCTGGTAGCTCTATCGCGTTCACTGTTCTGTTCTCCTGCAAGGCTGGCCTTTGCTCTTCTTTTCGCTCTTCCCCCTTTATATCTTCAGAGGCCTGGTGCCCATTTGTCAATATGTCAGAACGACCACAGTGCGGCGGAGGTGGCATCAGCCAGGATGACTACGACCTGCCACTTCATGTTGCTGCTGTCTGTAAGTCGAATTTGGATGATCACATGTTGGCGATGCAAGAAACTAACGTCCGGAGAACAGTTATGGTCTTTGCTTTCAGCATCGGAGGTACCCAATTTGTCCCCATGATTTAATCACCATATCTGAGACTAACATCGAGGACAGGAGCTGGCTTCCCGGTGGCTGGAAAGAGGATGCCATGGATGAGGATTGCACCTGGCATTCTCTTCTTCTGCAAGCATTTTGGCACAGGTGTCTTGGTTGCCACAGCATTCGTCCATGTATGTTCTTTGCTTTCCCCTACACGATCCTGAACTGATCTTGAGATACAGCTTATTCCTACCGCCTTCTCTTCCCTGACGGACCCATGTCTGCCTCCTCTCCTGACCGAAGAATACCCGGCCATGCCTGGGGTCATCATGATGGCCGCGCTCTTTGCTCTATTCACCGTCGAGATGTACCTCAAAGCCAAGGTTGGTGGCCACTCTCACGGCGGACCGACGGGTCACGGTACCGCGGCTCTGGCCGATCAAGGGGCTCGACCAGGAACCCGTGGTCACCAGACCCTTCCGTCGTATGGGACGGCCGCTCGAACTGGGGAGCACGTTGTATATCCGGACTACGAAAAGCCTCACGCCTACACCCAGTATGTTAACGCAGTCACTATGCAGACTAAAGCACAATGGGGCTAACACATCTCTATACAGTACCTACGAAGTAACGCCGGCGTCCCGTGAGGAAATAGAACAATACAACAACCTCGCCGAGATGCCTACGTGGTTCCAGGTCTTCTACGCCCAATATGTCCGACAGCGAGAGGAGCTCAAGGCCATGATCGTGGCGGTTACTCCTCGAGCTGCACCCGTCTTTACTGAGACATCATCTTTTGACGACCGTTCGTCGATCGTCTTGTCAGATACGGAATCACTCGCCGACGAGCTGACCCTCAAACGCATGAACTTGAACATTACTCTTCTTGAAGGTGGTATTCTCTTCCATTCGATCTTCGTAGGCATGACCATCTCGATTACAAGTGATGGCTTCGTCGTCCTTCTCATCGCGATCCTGTTCCATCAATTCTTCGAGGGCCTGGGACTCGGATCTCGCATCGCCGCGGTGCCTTATCCGAACAAGGCTGTCCGGCCTTGGCTTCTGGTTGTTGCATTCGGACTCACCTGCCCCATCGGACAGGCCATTGGACTGTTGACCCGCAACTCGTACGATCCTTCCAGCGCTTTTGCGTTGATTCTAGTGGGCGCTTTCAATGCCTTGTGAGAATATTTATCTCGCCCTGGATTCAAATTGCTGATCGGTGCAAAGTTCCTCGGGCCTCCTGATATATGCAGCGACAGTCGATCTGCTGGCGGAGGACTTCCTTTCCGAAGAAGCTCAGTTGACCCTGACGAAGAAGGACAAGATAATGGCATTTATCTACGTTCTGCTTGGAGGTAAGTCATTCGAAGACCCATTTCCTTGTGGTTATTGTCTGAGGCTGACCCTTTTCCTCAAAAGCCGCCGGCATGGCTATAGTCGGAGCGTTTGCATGAGCGACCCAGATGTCCCGGAGGTCGGCTTGGAGCCTCAATTCCGTCAGAATCTTCGGTAGTGTACTTCTGCAGAGCAGATTGGCAGAGCCCTACGGTGGGAAGGCTGGAAATTGCAGGCGTTGGCGCAGGTGATATGTCCGTGGAGTAGGGCGGTGTATGCCGTGCTGGGCGAGTGTAAGATGTGGTAGTCCGTGCGGACTCGATGACTCCCTGTTTTGGCATAGGAGCGAAGAGCTGTCTCCTCTTGGGGCCTGTGCTCTGTACACTTTCATCGGGTAGCCACGCGCTCTGCCAGCCCTAGGTGGATCGACAGGCAATTGCAATGCTACAGTAATCGTAGTTCAGATGGTGCCTGACCTTGGAAGTTGGTCTGGTCTGACTGAATATGTGAAGACATTTGTACGAGTATGCCACGGCGAGGCACATTACGACGGTCAAGAACAATGATCCTCCCTCCATCGGGCGATTTGAGTCCTCACGAGTTTGTCGAGGCACTGTCACCCGACTGTATTTCACCAGTCAATTACCTCTGAGCAGGTTATCTGTCCCGGGCACCTTGAGGCGGCTCGATGAAGTCATGACAAAAGAAGTCAATTTGCGATGCCGCTTTTGGGTCACAGAGAGTCATTCATCTTGGCGGCGGCGGCGGCTGGTTCCGACTCCCGACAAAGGCCATGCGCTCAGCCAGAAGTGAAAGTCGTCCCTACTGCGCACGCCTGGAGCTCATTGTAAGAACATATCAGCAAGAACGTATCAACACACCTCCAAGTTTGCAATCATCCAGCCTATCCGCCGTATTGCACAAATCTAGCATCATGGACGACGGCGAAATCAACATCAACCCTGAGGACATCAACCGCCTCTCCGACCGCGAAAAGCGCGAACTCCAAATCTTCCTGCAGGGTGAAACACAAAAAGCGCAGGTCCAGAAACGTATGGATGGCCTTTGCGTCACATCAGAATCTGTGTGCTAACTTTCTTCTTGTTCCGCGCTGCAGAAATCCACGAATTGACGGAAATGTGCTTCAAGAAATGCATCACGGGCTCGATATCCTCTGGGAAACTGGCGGGAAAGGAGGAGGGTTGCATGACGAACTGTGTGAATCGCCTATTTGATTCGAACCTGGTCATTTTGAAGCATTTGGAGGCATTGAGGCAGCAGCAGTGACCTGGGAGGTGACCATGCTCAGCGGCATCAGCGGTTGAGTCTGTTTCCACAGACCAAAGTGCGCAGATAAATGTACAAAAGTTGGGAATAACACGCGTCACTGGGAATGTCTTCAGGATACCTGCATAGGAACCCCTGGGCTGGCATTGTTTATTCAAATAGAAGGCAGGCTGCATTGGGAAGAGAAGGCAGGCAATCTTGTCAGGATCTGACTCTTTGCTCAATTGTATGAACATCACAGATCCATTGGCGTGGGAAACCTCGTCTCGCAAGACTCTTTGATGGGAATTTCCCTCCTTCATGCGCGGAACCTGAGATCTCAAGCGTAGCTGCCTGCTCGACTCATCTACTGTGTATGTCGAGATTGAATCCTTCGTGCCTGAGTCGCATTCTTGGATTTTTTGAGCGTGTTTTTGATGCCCAATGTTGGGCGTGACAAGACGCTCTCCGCCAGCCGTTCCTCACTCAACATCAACCATCTGTCACCCACCCCCTCTACACGATCGACAGCTTCGTAGCCGCAATGTCCAGCGCATCCACATCCGTCGTTAACCTCGCAAAGGCCTTCTTCGTGCCATCCGGTCTGATCAAAGTGTTGATCTTGACGGTGTCCACATCGTAAAGCTTCTTCAGTGCGGCCTTGATCTGGGGCTTGTTGGCCTTGACGTCCACAATGAAAACCAGCGTGTTGTGCTCCTCGATCTTCTTCATCGCACTCTCGGTGTTCAGCGGGTGGATGAGCACCTTGTGGTGGTCGAGTCTGGTCTCATGAGGGATTGACTTGCGGGGGTACTTTGGTGACCGGGAAAGGACGAGAGTCTTGGGTCTGTGGAATGTGGTTGATGTGCGGATTTTGCGCGCCTTCTGGGTGTGGACCTATTTGTCACAGTCAGAAGGACTGGTGCTGCGGTGAGTTTTCGACTTCGGACACCTACGCCTCTGAGGGTGGCTTTTGCGGCCTGGTTGGCTTTGGCACTCGGCTTCTTTGGTTTCGAGCCGTCGGCTGTACGAGTAACGATAATGTCAGCGCCTGTTCAATAAGAGTAACCACTCGGGCAAACGAAATCAGTGTCCGCCTGTGAGTCTAGAAGTGCGATTCTAGAGCCGCACGGGTTGCTCTTTCCCCATTCTTATCTGTGTAGAGGAAATCATTGTCGTACCTTTCGGCTTCTGCGTTGGTGGTGCCATCCCTGCGGTCTTGCGATTGAGAGCACTGGCTTTGAGGTTGTCGTCGGAAAAGTTGTCAACCTCGAACGAAAATCGCAGTTCGGCAGAGCGACGAATGTGGGCTCCACAACGCCAAGATTTGGTTTTGCCAAGCCTCGTCCGGTGACACATTTTCACCCTCAGGCGCAGTGTCGGTTGTCTCAAAAGCAATTTACACGGTACTGTGTTCTCCGTAGAGACTTGGTAGAATGGTAGGAGACATCTACCTTTCTCTTCATGTAAACAACGACTCGTTGCTCCCGAGGTGATGACAGTCGCCTTCTGAAGTTGTTGCGTTCTTACCATTGTCGCTTGCAAGCCAGCATGGGGCTGGACAACGGCAAGAGTGAACATGGCAATACGGAAGCGCGAACCAATGCCGAAGACGAGGACGCCGACGCAATCTTAGCATCTCTCGAGGAAGAAGACGATACTTCATATCGTGCTCAGCGCATGCAAGAGTTCAATAGTGCTGCCACCACTACTGTAGTCAACACGGCCAGCCAGGCTTATGTTACTCTGTCGAGCGACGATGAGGCGCTCAGTTTCACAACTGAGCATGAGCGAGCAGTCGTCCACTTCTTCCACCCGGATTTTGCAAGATGCAGCACTATGGACTCCCACTGTAAAACCATTGCCCAAAGGCATGCAGAGTACGCTGAAGGAGACGTGGCCTTTGCGAAAATCAATGTCAACCACGCACCCTTTGTGGTTGAGAAGCTGGGAGTGAGAGTACTACCATGCGTCATCGGCTTCGTCAAGGGTGTCGTCAAGGGAAGAATCACCGGTTTCGAAGGTTTGTGCTGGGATGGTAAAGAAGGCAGTGTGGAAGTCACCAGAGCTCTTGAGGAGGCAATAGTCGACTGGACCGTTGTGGGAAAGAGACTTCTGTTGAGGCACGACGACGACGAAAGCGATGAAGACGATGGTGCGCCCGATCGACGTAAAGCTGGTCGACGAGGCATCCGTGATCGCAAAGTACCGGTTGAAGACGAAGACGACGATTGGGACTGAAGTACCTTACCTCCCGACGGTCGTCCGTGTTTCGAGGGCTGTGTGAAGCGTCCAGGCCAGATCCGAGTAGCTGAAGTTGTGTCAACCGCTTGCCAGGCTCTACTCTCAACAGCAAAATTATCAAGGGGTCAATTTGCTTCACGAGCTGGACAATTCGTCTGATCCATGGGTACTCCGACGAAGTTTCCGCCTGGAACAGCGAACATCTTGGCTCTTCATGGATCTAGCAGCCATCAATCTCGTCCCTGAAGATGAATGCTCAGGGATACCTCGGCTGCTTAGGGAGTACGATGCCATGGATCTACACCATGGCGAGGGTTAGTGATGCCTTACCCACCACGGAAGCGTTCGTTGTTCAGTCTGGAGGCAGCAGTACAATTGATACTGGTCTACGCTGCCTTCCACGAGAGTTGGAGGTACATTCGGCTCCGCTCGTCTATGCAGGTGGACCTTAGTTGGTGGGTCCCTTTGCTCTAAACACGACATCGCAGTCAAAAGCCTGCAAAGGTTCGCTCCTGGTCTGGCTATAGGATACTCAATCGTACCGACAATCAGCCACTTTACCGAAAAGCCGCGACCATGGCAGTCCGGAAATCACGGTGAAGCATAGCGATGCGAAATAGCCATATACAAAGTACTCCGTACATCTCAGATAATAAGAAAGGGGAAAGTGCTAAGATATCGGAAATTATATGGCGGGTTGCTAGTGGTAGAGTAACGAGCAGGCTTAGCTGAGCTGCGGCTCGTTCAGGCATGCCTGCAGGCATTAATTAAGCCCCTAGCGTTAGCCCATCGGCGTCGCATCGGGGTCCTGATTGACGCACGTCAGCCACCATGAGGAAAATGCAGCCACTTCGGAGCAGCGAAACTTTCACGTTGCGCGTCACAGTCTCCTTTTCTGTCCCCTTTCCAGGCGGCGCGATTAATTAAATCTCAACGTCCACCCGCAACTTGCCATCCACCTCCGACACCCTGGCATTTTCGTTTCCAGCTGCTCTTTTACTCCGTACTTTAGGGCTATTTCTACTTCTACGACTTCTCACAGAGTGTTGCACGCTCTCATCTGCAACCTGCACGTTCGTTCCGACTCCTCCGCAGGCATTTGTGCTCGTTGGTCGATAGTCCCATCAGCGCCGAATCACGACTCCCAGAGATGGCTGAAGAGGAGAAGAAGAGATTCCTTGAAGGGAATGATATGGAACTCGGCGAGAAGCAGGGCAGGACCTTTCATCACGCTCCTCAGCCATCAATTCCGAGATATAATCCGCCTTCACCAAATTGGCAGAACAACCCCGTCCTGCCCGTTGTCTCCTACTGCGCTTCATCGATTTTAATGACCGTCGCCAACAAATACATTCTCTCATTTCCCGATTACAACTTGAACTTTTTCCTTTTGGCAGTCCAAGTACGTCGAGACAGATTCGCGCCTGTTTCTCGATACTAGCTGACCTCTCGTGCCACAGTCAATCGTGTGTGTCGTTGCTATCCAATCCTGCAAAACCGCCGGCATTATCACCTACCGCGATTTCAAGACAGACGAGGCAAAGAAATGTACGAGGAGGGGACAGCGGGTCGGTACACCAGCTAACAGAGGCCAGGGTTTCCCATCTCTCTCCTATTGATCGGGATGATCTACACCAGCACAAAAGCCCTACGATATCTGTCGATTCCTGTGTACACTATTTTCAAGAACTTGACCATAATCCTCATCGCTTACGGTGAAGTTCTATGGTTCGGCGGTTCCGTGTCGTCCATGGCGCTCTTCTCCTTTGGCTTGATGGTTCTCAGCTCTGTCATTGCGGCCTGGGCGGACATTAAGCATGCCTTGGAATCACACAGTTCTGCCGGTTCCGCCACTACGGCACAGTTGGCGACGCTGAACTCAGGATATATCTGGATGCTTGTCAACTGCCTGTCTACTGCCGCATACGTGCTCGGAATGCGCAAGCGGATCAAGCTTACCAACTTCAAGGACTTTGACAGTGAGTGAACAAGATCTACGTCGAGAAGCAGAAAGCTGATTCCTTGTTTAGCAATGTTCTACAACAATCTCCTGACCATCCCCATCCTGCTGGTTTCCTCCTTGGTCGTCGAAGACTGGTCGGCCGTCAACATTGCAAAGAACTTCCCCATCGACGCGAGAAACGCAATTATCGGCGCCATGATCTTCACCGGCTTATCCTCAATCTTCATCTCGTATACCTCAGCCTGGTGCGTCCGAGCCACATCCTCGACCACTTACTCCATGGTCGGTGCCCTGAATAAACTGCCTATTGCAGTGTCTGGCCTGATCTTCTTCGATGCCCCAGTCACGCTCCCGAGTGTTTCAGCTATTTTCGTTGGATTCGTCAGTGGTATCGTCTACGCGCTGGCCAAAGTTCGAGAATCCTCGAAACCGAAAACAATCCTTCCCACGTCCAGCACCATGAGCGCTAGCAGCCAGAGCAACAGGGACAGCCTGAAGGGATGAGCCAAGAACTTTCTTCTCGGATCTTTCGCCTCTTCTCTCGGCTTCATGGACGAAAGACTTTTACTTGATTGCATTGCGAGGCGTTCGGCAGGATGGGTTTAGTGCGTTGGGAAAGCGATGTTAAGGCAATGAGCAGCAGTCAGAGGACCTGCTTTCACGGACACGCCTAGGATCATTCTTGTATTCGCTCCAACTAGAATTTTTAGACTACGCCTTGCTCGGGATCACTGTACTTGTAGTAGCCGATGACCAGTGAAGATGACGATGACGAGATTTACCTGTGTGGAGGGAAGCTGCTGGTTGAAATGAACGGCAACACAATCTTGGGTGCCAGGTGAGAAAACAAAATGGTCGGTTGGCTGGGGCTCTGAAACGCACCGCATCCAGAACACGGGCATAGCGCTCAAAATAGCAGCGAGGTTCTCGCTAATTATATGCATCAATTCAGCAATAGCGAAACCATTACACCATCACGTCTGACCGATCCTCCGTACTTCGTAAATTTTCCGTTTTTCATGGACGCGAGGCTGACGAGTACATCGGCGGCGAGACTGGCTGCCTTGACGCTCTAGCGGGAGACACGTGCGTTTGACCAGAATAGATGGGCAAGGTCAAGCGCAATGGCCGAAAGCACAGCAATCATCACGATAATCCAGCAACAAACAAGTCCAAGGTGATCCGAAGGCAGCACAGCCAACATCAACAACCCGGGCCACAGGCGAGCACGAGAACTGCTCAGCAACCAAGTCCAAATGGACAACTGCACAGACGGCCGAAGGTACCCTTTACCGCATATGACAACGTGCTACTTGTTGGCGAAGGTCAGTAAACCCGCCCTGTGGATGAGGTATCTGCTTACGAGAGATAGGGGATTTCTCGTTCTCTTTAGCACTAAAACAACTCCAGAAGGCTAGGCAGATCACAGCTACGTGCTATGATACCAAGGATGTACTCGAGAACAAATATCCCAACGCCCAAAAGACCGTAGCGCAGCTTGAAGCAGCAGTGGACGCCAGTGGAAAGAGCTTGAATGGCGACGAGGCCGAGTGGAAAGGGCTGTCACCTTCGCCGTCGGGTTCACCTATTGAAGACGCGGGCTTCGATCAAGAACAGCCACCAAGAACTCCGGCTGTGACTGTACTCTACGGAATCGATGCTGTCAAGCTTTCTTCCGCACACAAGAAGGCTCTACGGGCGAACACCCCCTTTACGAAGACTGTCTTCAACTTCCCACACGTCGGCGGCCTCAGTACAGACGTGAACAGGCAAGTCAGGTACAACCAAGAACTACTCGTTGGATTCTTCAAAGCCGCAAAACCATTGCTCAGCTCTCCTAATCGTCCAGCACGAGTGCATCCAGTTGTCGGGGAAGCTGATGGCGACAATGAACAAATGCCCGACGATGCAGGGCATCGGGATCCGGGGGCTGTAAATGGCCAGATACTCGTCACCCTGTTTGAGGGCGAGCCATATACACTCTGGAATATCCGCGACCTAGCCCGTCACTGTGGCTTGAAGGTAGTGGAGAGCTTCAAGTTTCCCTGGTCTGTGTATGCAGGGTATCGGCACGCGAGGACTGCTGGGGAAATCACCACGGGGAAGGACAGAAGCGATGAAGGCAGACGGAAAGGCGCCTGGAGGGGCGAAGAGCGTGATGCCAGATGCTACGTGCTGGAAGATAAAGACGCACCCGCAAGTCGTGCGCTGACGAAGAAAAGGAAGCGAAATGTCGAAAACGACGACAGTGACTGACCGTAGAAGCCCAAGCTGTGTTGAGTCTAGCGTGCCAAGACACCCCGTCGACCCGCATCTAAAGCCCAAATTCCGGCTTTCTCCACAAATTCCATCGTCCATTCAGCTTTCGTTGACTTTTTCTTCAGTTACCACAGTACGAAAGTCCTTGCATCGCGTCACTACATGAGACAGGTTTTCTGACCTCTTGATCGCCTGCGGGACATCCCACCATGTCGGAAGAAGCGCCTCGTAAGCGGTCACGCTTCGATCAGACCGCACCTGAGCCGCGCAAAGCGTCTCGCTTTGACAGAAGGTCCCGATCTCCTTCCTCCCGCCAGCCCGAGTCACGCAGAAGTCGCAGTCCACTCGGGAGAGACAGTAGAAGTCCTACAGCTAGCGAGCGGCGCAGCACTCCTCTTGACCCGGCCGCCGCTGCCGGTATGTTATGATTTGCTTCTTTTGGTCATTGATCCATACCTAACTTGCTCCAGCTGCGGCGGCCGCCAAAATCAATGCTGGATTGCAAGCTCGCAAGGGCATCCAACATGTCGATGTCCCTCCAGTCCGCTCGGTAAATTCCATCGTATCTGAAACCGAGCTTGCGCTTACAGTGTCTGCACAGTCATCCACAGCCACGCCTCCCCCCAACTCCGCTACCCCTTCTTCCACCCAAGGCACAGCGAAGCTCGATGGAGATATCTACGTTGCCGACGGTGACTATATCAAGGATATCGAAGTCAATGACCTGCGGAACCGTTACACGTTGACAAAGGGCTCGACGCAGAAAATGGTATATACACGCCTTCCTAGGGCGAGACACGTCGGTGCTATGCCGGCCCTGCCAGCGATGCGGACCAGTTCGAGATTCTTAGTTCCTCTTACTGACGCGTTCTTGGTGTTTTTAGATTAAAGAAGAGACTGGTGCCGACGTCACCACTCGCGGCTCATATTATCCGGACAAGGCCATGGCCACTGCGACGAACCCCCCGTTGTATCTTCATGTAACCAGCACATCCAAGGCCGGCCTTGAGAAAGCCATTGCGAAGATTGAGGAGCTCATGCAACAGGATCTGCCCAATCTGGTGGACGAGCGACGTTTTCGACGGCGGGAGCCGGAGCAATTTGAACGAGACGAGTTCGGTAGAGTAAGTACAACCCGTTTGCAATGCATCACACCCCGTCGCTCACATTTATGGTAGAGGAAATGGCCCGAGGAACGGATCCCCATCGACATGGAAAACATCCCTGGCTTCAACCTACGTGCCCAAGTAGTCGGTCAAGGTGGCGCATATGTCAAGCACATCCAGCAAGAAACCGGGTGCAGGGTTCAGATCAAAGGCCGTGGGTCGGGTTTTATGGAACATAGTACGGGTCAGGAGTCGGACGAGCCCATGTACCTTCATGTTGCTGGGCCTCAACCGCCTATGGTTCAGAAGGCCAAGGAGTTGTGTGAAGATTTGCTTGCTAACGTCCGCCTGAACTTTGAGCACTTCAAAGCAAACCCGCCGCCAACGAGGATGGAGTCATACACCGACGGCTACGGAGCTGATGCCAACCGTGGTTCCTACGGCGGTGGCTATGGGAGAGATCGCCATCGCGAGAACAGCTATTCGCATCAGAGCAACAGTTACAATTCTCCATATGCTGCAACTCCGACCACTCCTGCTCCCGGCGCAGCCTCCCCGACAGATCTTGCGGCGCAACAAGCTCAATACGCACAATACTATGCGAGCCAGCCAGGAGGTGATCCTTACGCTGCTTATGGCGGCTATCAGAACTACGTTGCTTACTACAACTACTACCAGCAACAGGCCGCAGCTCAACAGCAGTCTCCCCCTCCACCTCCAGGCGGTGATGCAAATGCCCCTCCTCCTCCGCCAGCAGAAAGCAGCGGTGCACCACCTCCGCCACCTCCTTCTGGTAGCTACGCATCAGTGCCGCCCCCTCCAGGTTTATGACCATGACTGGTGTCGCGAACAGCTGACATTGTCAGATCGAGCTTTTCGAGTCCGCCAAAGAAGCGAACAGCAGAAAAGCATCTCTCCTCCGCGTCGTTGATTTGAACATGGACTAGCAATATTTTCTTCACGCAGGCTTGTGGTTTGTATGGCCAAAAAGTGCAAGATGGCCCAACTCTCGGGTTGGACAGGCAAAGTATTACAAAAGGGCAGAACTTGAGCAAAGCTGATCGGTCAATAGGGACCTGATCCCGTAATAACATTTCGAGATTTGTGTGCTTTGAGAGCTGCTGACTTGACCGCGCGTAGTTGTGGCGATTCCACCTCATCTTTCGTCTGAGCAAATCATGCATGTCCATGTTCACAGCAAGACTGGACTCACCCCTGCTCAGGGCTGACGGACGGACGATCTGCAGAGTGATGCTGTAATTTTGTTGTGAGTGATAGATGTGGATACACAATCTGTCCTCCGTCTGGAGCGGAGATCTCTCCATCACATCCAGTTTGACTTTTCAAGCAGCATCATTGTCTCTCTTCATGAACATGCTAAAGAGGACAAGTATATGCAGTAAGGGTTAAGTTTAGGCGGCTGGCTGCGCAGGCGCGAACGGTAATGCAATTGGACGTTTTCCATCCCTGTGTATCATGGGAGGCACATACATGCGTGCAAGCAACGTAGTTCTCTCTTACAGCTGAAGCCATGCCTTTAAAGGATCGCACGGAAAAGAATCGCCCTAATGATTGTGACGTTTGATGTTGACACGTACCTAGGCATGTAGTCGTTAATGTTCTTCGTGAAGGAACGAAGGATTTCATCCTTTCTTCCCTACCGCCTGATGGTATTAGACTTAGGCATACAGTACAACGTGATGTACGTGATGTACATTGACCATCGCGGCATGGTCGACCCTGCGCTCTACACGGAGCACCGACTCTCTACTCCGTACAGCAGACCTGGATCCTCCAACTGAGTACGGAGTAATTACACTACAGTACATTCCCCCAGCCCCAGACTTGTCGCAAGGGTTATCGTCCCTTCTGCACAGCCCCGTGTTGGTACAAGTTTTGTACAAGACTCGGAATCAGCGCCCTCATTCCATCCGTCCACCATCCGCTAGCAAATACGTAGAGCAATCACCGATCACCTATCTCCTTTCCTTCGAAACATCCCTGGCGAACGCGGCGCCGGTGCTTCCTTCACTCACGAGCGGCCTTTCCATGAAACAACGCCATCAAGGTCCCATTCTACTTGACCTTGCGGATCGTCGCGTCGCTGGCCTTGGAAGTCAACCCGCGACTCAAGCCCGCGCCGATACCCCTGCCCAACGTCGCGATCTTGCTGCCCGCAAAGGGGTTGAGACTCGTCTCCTCGTCCACTGTTGTTGCGGCGGCGGCCGCTGCTGCTGCCCGGTTACCGCCTCCGCCGTGTTCATGTGACGGATTGGGACTCTGGGTCTGCGATTCTGCGGCGACGGAACTGGCGCCTCGACTCCTTGGTCCGGCTCCCGCTCCCGCTCCTGCCCCGCCCAGATGTACGGATTTCGACCGCTGGTGAGATTGTGTGAGGGCTAGAATCGCCGCTAGGGCAGAGTCCGCGCTGCCTTCGGAGGATGGGCCGGGGATGATAAGGCTAGATGACCGTGGCAGCGTGGAACTTCCGCCACTGCTGCGGCTTGATTGGTGGGCCAGCCGAGGTGGGGCGAGATACTCGTGCTCAGCATTCACGTCGCTGCTGCTGAGATCTGGCGTCGTTGTGGACGGGTAAGGGACTTGGACGGTGGTGAGGGTTGCGCAGGAGCAGCCGCAGCCGGTCGGGCAGGTGGTCTGGGCGTCGAGATCTGTGGGTTCAAAGGCCGCGGAGATGCCTTCTTCGTCCTCAATCGGAAAGAGTTCAGACTTATCTGACGAACGTCGGGAATGGGGCTTGTGGTTGTCTTTCACCCGGTCAGCGCCGAACCAGCCTTGAGCACAGTCGTAGCATGTCATGTGCCCGCACTGTAGGCATGGCACCGCAAGCCCCTTGATGGAAGTGTTGCAAATGGCGCACGCTCCGCGTTTGGGCACTTTGTTGACGACTGTGCCTATCGCTGGATTACACGCTATGCAAGATGAAGTAACGCAGTTCCATCCGATTGGGACTCTGTTCTTTTCAATCGGAGCCACTGGTTCGCCGCAACTGCAACAACACTGCCTTATAGCCAAACCAGGACTTGTCGCCCGAGATGCTGATGTCAGCGTCTTCCGTCGAGGCCGGCCCAAACCAGACGACTGTTGCTGAACAGCCGAGCCGCGGTGTCGTGACGGCGCGATTGTATCTTCAGTGACAACTCCGTCAAACTTGAGCATTTCAGCCCGCTGAACGGGCAATTGCCAGACGTCGAGAAGCTGAGCATAGCTTGCGCGATACATCTTGCACTTCCACGCAAGCAGCGGACCCAGAAGTGGAGTGGATGGATAGCCATCGAAATCAAACTGATCCTGATTGAGAAGTCGCGTCCTCAGTCGCTTGCGTCTTGGAGACTTCTTCCGCTGCGTCTGTTCCGACACATCCGTCTCAGCAGTTGATCTGACGCTCCGTGGTTGGGTCGAGGTTTGAAACATGTGGCTCCTGCGCGAACTTGGAAAGGTCGATGAGGATATGGACGAGCGGTTGGCTGGCTCGCGACTATCTTGTGCGCCACCGTCGCCGGTCTGGAAAGAAGTCCGTGAAGTTCGGCTTGCATGTTGTCCCGCGAATAATGCAGATGGCACCCAGGCCGGAGTCAATGACCCAGACGGACTGTACTTCTTCAGACTTGATGCAAAGTTGGAAGACGTGCTCTGATTAGGAGGAGAATTGGAGTATGACTGCGTCAGCGCGGACAGACTCGCCTTTGCCGTGGAATATGTGATGCCGGAGAGCGACTTGTTGCTTGGTCTATTCCCTTCAGGAGATGTAGACATCGAGACACTCGCAGAGCGAGGGGGATCTTGATCGCTCGAATCATCCGCCACGAAACTAGGTGCTCGAGTCGAGAACTGACTTCCTTGCCGAATGACGCCAAGGTAAGGCCTCCGCTGACTGTCACCGCTACCTGGAGGTTGCAGGCCAGGACTGGGAGGAACTGATTGGTTGTCGACCAGGACATATCCCTCTGGATCCGTGAGATTTCGGAGAACAGATCTGGCCACATCTCCTGAAGGGAAGTAGTCAACCTGGACTAGTCGTTCACTATACGGCGCATGCAGCCCTTGCTTATGAAGGGTCTCTCCGGTGATAAGACCGTCGTTGAGCGTGGAGGCCATGACACAGGCTAGCATCGCGAGCATTTGTATGTCTCCAAGCCGCTCAAAGTGGTCGAATATGGCTGGGAGCAAGTAATGTGCACCGAGGGGATGGTTGCCCCATCGCATTCTGCCCATTGCTTCTCGACGTGACAGCCCAGCTATTATGCGATTACGCTTGTGTTTCCTTGCCACTGCTCTTGCAATGACTGTTATATCCTGGACAGTAGTATGGCTCAGCTCAGGGACGACCTCAAGTGGCACTGCGTCGTCAAGCACGAGCCCCAGAAGCGTCCACACGGATGCAAGGTCCTCCAGAGAGGCGTCTTGGGCGACTGCAGCATTATGCTTGCACACCTCTTGACCATTGCCGAAGATACGATACTCCACGGCAAGCTCGCGTTTGGAGGGAATCAGATCATCGAACGTGCGGATGGAGACGGCACTCTTGCGAGGTGGCACTTCGTTCAGTTTCGCGCCACCACCAGTCGTAGAGTGGTTGGACCGGTCGGGTGAACGTGAGCGATGTTGGTGACCAGACGCCCCGACTCGGTATGATGAGACACCACGCTCGTTCTGCTCGGTCTCAAAGGATGAAGAAGAGGTGCTAGACGAGTTCCACGATGACTCTGAGGTCTCCGAATCCGAATCGTCGTCGGCTGTTTTGGTACCAGCCGTAGTCTTGCGGGCGGGCGAGCTTGTATGGAGACGGCCAAAGCCTTCGAATAATCTGCTTGACTGCGAATCTTCAAGATCCCTGACGCCGAGCGTGCTTAGAAACGAGGCAGGCTCGTTGCCTTTGGCCGGGAAGAAGCAGACCAGTTTTCCTGTCTCAGACCACAGAGCACCACATCCTTTGGCAATTGGCACAAGAACATTGGCCGATGCATCGAGGCCTTCCCGTACACCCTCGAGCTCATCGTCATCACTGTCGGTGCTTTCATCGTCCTCGGGCACCGCGCCTGTCTCGAAGATCTTGGAGTCGACCAGCGATTCTCCAAGCACCCAGCCAACAATCTGCTCGAGACTCTGCTCTCGCAGCAGATACCGCAAAATGGCTTCAAGGCAGCCCCGCTTCCGGGAGGCGTAAGTTTCTGCAATTGTGTGTAGCTCAGTAGTGATCAGTCTATATTTGGCCTCGTCGAGGAAAGCCGACTTCTGCAGGGTCAGGACGGCATTTGCGCTTCGCGGGTACAGCTTAGGGAACCTCATCTCGACCCTCAAAAAGACTTGGCCTTGGTCGTCGCCCCAGGGAGCTTCCAGAGACATGACCGCTTTGCGATGAGAGATATCGACCAACTCGAACTCTACACGTTTGAATTTCTCCCCAACGTGCCTTATCTCTTCCGCCAACGTGTCGGGATCCCATGATGAGATCTTCACATTCTTCAGCCACGCAATAGGGTCGGCAGTCTGCCGACTGTTTCCCTTGCCATGCATGCCCGATCTTTGGCCATGACGGCCGCCTTGCACCCAGCCGCGGAATTGGGAAACAGGGATTTTGTTCATGCCAACACTAGTACTGCTTCGAGGCCGAAAATGCGTGGAATAGCCAGGACGGGAGATCATGTCGCTTCGAGGTGCATCCTCCATCGGCGAATCCGCGTCCCCTGGGACATCACGGAAGCTTTTGTAAATGGCGCCTTTGCGGGTGAAATTCAGCCGCTGGACTCTAGAGACGCCCTTTTCATAGCCAATGTCTGCATACATCTCGGGCTCAATGGCATGAAGCTTCAGCTCTCGATCCGTGCCCCAAGACACCAACTGGAAGTCTCGCTGATCGATGGCATCGACAACACTTCCTCGGGCACGCCATAGGAACTCCTTGACCTGACCATCGTGGCCCTTGAACGTTGCAACTGGGCGAACGTGGCCACTCTCAAGGACTCCGTTGACGGCACGCCTATCGTAGAGGTGTAAGTCGCTGTTACCGCGCTGTGGCATGACGAGGAGACCCCATCCGAAAGGAGTGTGGCGAGCCCGCCAGACGGGAAATGGCGTGTCAATTTCGCGCTCAAGAGTGCTCTCTTGGCCTTCAAAGTTCCAGAATTTGATGGTCTTGTCCAGCGAGCACGTGACAATTTTGTTGCGATGATGTCGGTTCCAGTCGATTCCATAAATCTTGGTGCCGTGAGCTTCGACTGTCCGAACAGGATACGCACCATTTCTATCATCCCAGATGTGGAGAAACTTGTCGTGCGAACTTGCAACGACGTGTTCATCCTGCCGATTCCATTTCACTTGGGTAGCGCCAGCAAACCAATCCGAGAAGGAATTGATCGGCCGCAATGGTGCTCTCAGATCCCAGCAGTGCACAAAACTGTCCACGGCGCAAGTGGCCAGGACGTCGGGATTGTGAGCAGAGAAGTTGATGTCGGTGATTGCTCGAGTGTGGCCGTGCAGCACAAATTCAATCGGATCCTGCCACGAACGAGCGTCCAGATTCCATACCAGTGCCTTCTGATTTGATGTACTGACCACCCAATAGTCTCGCGCCGAAAAAGGAGACCACTGCACATCAGCCACCTCCCAGGGCGTTCGGTGTGGCAGGTAACGCGGAGGAGAATAGGGCGAGTCCAGATCGATGATATGAAGCCCTTCTTTAGAGGCCAAGGCCACGTCGCGTCCGCTCGGGGATATTGACATGGAGCCGACGGGCTGCTCAAGTCGAAAGGATGCATCTTGGCCGAAGGTTTTGCTCTCAAAGGCCGAAGCCGGTCCTCGCGACCCCATGCTAAGAGCTGATCAGGTCTTTGAGGTGCCGGCTTTTGCAGCTGACTGCATCACTGATGACCATCAACTGGCCACGTTGGAACGGATTATTGGTGTTGTTCTTCAGAGCACAGAATGGCATGCTGGACATGCATGACCATGTCATTTACCTGCTTCCCCTAGGACGCGCTGCTGAGGATCTGCCTCGTCACAACCTGGCATCAGAGCAAAAATCGCACGGAGCGTAGTGTAGAGATCGCAGATGTAGAGTTCACGCGCACAGGTGGATAGGTGTCCGATTATATGAGTCCAAGGTGCATCAGACTCGAGAAAGCGCGACGCCCGAGTCAAGACCGAACTACGCATCAGGCAGCAGTTTCTCACGTGATAGTCACGTGGGCTTTCTCACACAACGATATGTTAATTATGTTCCGAATGATTAAACACTCCAAACATAATCTCTATATAAGAGAAGCCCCTGTCAGAGAAGCGATAGGGGTATCGACGAGGTATAGGTCTATGGGTACAGCCTACCAATATTGTACCATCGATAGGTGGAACAATCTAGACTGATGAAATCAGGCACCGCCGGTGGCATTAGATTAGCACTCACTGGCTATGAAGGTCAAGGCTGTCCAACGCCCTCCAATACCTTCCAACGCCTTCCAACGAAGTAGCACTTGGTCCAAACTGTGATACAGCTGTTTCCACTATGAGTACTGGGTGGGGCATAAGCAGGTGGTAGACTCGCTTGATGCTGATTTCTATCCAGCAGGGAGGAGGCATTGGGATGGTCTATTTTTCATGGCAACCATTCAGCAGTGATTCAGCACGTCGGACCTGACCGCTGGATGGGCGAAACTACCACCATTTCCGACGCAGCTGCGATACCTGTTACCAAGTGCAGTGACTGGGTCCTGCGTCCCCCATGGATGGTCCGAATCGAGCCACCTCCAGCAATATCCGTCCGAGGATAGATGGCCCGTATCTATCTCCAGAGAAAGGTGCCACAAGTACAAGATGGTCGACCTCATGCAGAGTTTTCGGGACCATTCTGACTGCAGACCATCATAGCGCACAAGATATATGTGCGCCATCACAGAGCTGGCCCTGTACTACCTCGCAGATATATGGCTCCCGAGCAGCCTGAAGACGCCCGAAGGACCTACATGTTCGGAGTTGGCGGACGACACGCCTCTGTGATGTCCGTTTCGTGCCCAAACTCTGGCTGGGCTGTAGGGATCACGAAGCCAGTGTCGGCTCGGTCACGGAGAAAGCTTTCCGAGTCCCGCTTGCATTGTCAGGGCCGGTAGGGTTAGGCGTTCGACTTCGCAAGGTGGGCTTATTCCCTGCAGAGGCAGGCGTGGTGCATATCGCAACACGAGTTGGTGGTACTCGCCTCGACATGAGCGTGCTGTCGGTTCCAATCCCGGTTACGGTACTGGTGGTTGGTGCATGTAAAGTCTGTCGATCCGCTTATTAGTGCAGACTTGTCTAATCAACATCCCCAAATATGAAAGCTTGTATGATGTCGGCGAAACGAAGGGAGATGCCAGCCATGCCCAGTCGTCGAAGCATGCTCTCAATAACACAGAGGGTGCTGGCTTGCATTCCAGCCGAATTGGCCCCTAGGAGTTGCGGCAGGGTGGAGAGAGTCTGATCAAAGATGTTGGGAACCGGGTAGACGTTGGCCGATCTCGAGCTGCGGCTCTCCCGCAGGAGTTGGATTTCTGGAAGTGAGTTCAATGGTTCAAGTACCAGGTCTGGGAAGCTGCGCGCCGACTGTGGAGAGCTGTCTGGCCGGTATAGCATGTAGCAGTACCAACAAAGAGCGGCCGAAAATAGAATTCTGGGCGTGTGAAGGGCGACAAGAGCACCGATGTTCGTGGACACCATCAGATTTTGTAGAAATAGCGCATGGAGTAGGCACCTTTTGGAATCGGATGATGCGATCCAAGACCGTACATATTCACTTGTTGACGAGGCAATATCCGTCCCTTCCCGACCGACCGCTAGCTCCAAAAGATCAAGATTGGTGCTCAAGGCGATAAAGGTGTAGTGCCAGAGCGGGAGCAAGCTGAAGGGGCTTTCTGTCTGTTTGCCGTGGTCGTTGGACGCTTTGAAAGCTTTAGGAGAAGACGCATACCAGGTGAGGAGGTCCGACTCGAACTTATTGACCATGGTGGAAGAAAGGAGATCCAAATGCCAGCACTCGCAGATTGATGCTGCAATACCGCAGAGCGAGTTGTAAACATTGAACATACTCTGGTTACTCAAGCCTGTCCGCACTGTGCCAATCGACTGGGTGCGGGCTCCAACATCTGCAGTGCCCGCTTGGTCTAGAATTCCAGTCTTGCAATGTCCACTGTGGAACTGTGCTGCGCGCGCCTCAGCCCGAAACAACGATGCCCAGATGGCTGCTGTGGGAGCCGAGAACAGCTCTTGCGAACACACTGCGGGAATAAAGCCGGCATTGTGACGAAAGGTGGGTTCGTGGTGAAATAGTGCCGCAATTTCGGCGTCGTGTATGTATAGTAACACAGCGACTCTTCTCAACTCCTCCTGCTTCACCCATGATCTCCATGCCTTGTCAAGTAGTTCGGCGGAAAGGTCATCAGCGAGGCGAAAGGGAGGTGCACGGCTGAACAGCTTGTGGTGCCGAGCGAGAGAAATCATCGATCCGTGATATGCAGCAGCCGTAGTGCGATGTGCAGTATCCGCAGAAGTAAGTGCATAAGTCTGACCGATCATGGCCGCCTTAGCAATGTTCCACGTGTGGTCATTACTTCGGGGAAGAGCTCTCTCCCAAGGTGCAACTAAGATGGTCTTGTTTACTCGTTCAAAAAGCATGGAGCCAATCTTCGAAGCCATCTCGGATCCCAATGACAGACATCCGGCCGAGCATATCGAGAGGACCAATAAGGCGTTGCTGTTTTGCGGACGAAAAGTAGGGCCATGGATGAGTGGTAAAGCGACATTGAACCTGGTGAAGAAAAGGTGGATGCAAAGATTCAAAAACTCAATCGAAGGTAGGGGTTCATCACGTATAGGAGGACGCAATGTTCTCGCCAGTTTATCGCGGTATGCTTCGTCAATATCCTCTAGAGATGCGGTGGCCTTGGTTGCAGGAGTGACAGCGCCAGAACTCGCTTCAGGGTCAACGTCAGCAGTTTGAACATACCAGAGACGTCTAAGATCAGAGACAGCCGGCTGTTGTTCCGGTTTCTCGGGTGCCTGGCCAAAAGGTGGCCCCGAGACGTTGTCATGGCAGACGGGCTGTGATTCAAGTGCATTGCTGAAGCCCAGGTGCTCGAAGACGGTGAAATCGAAGTCATCTTCCAGGAGCCAGTGCGTGGAGCTGTAGGCAGGCGGATCCGTGCAGGCAAGAGCTTCCAGCGGGTTATCGACTGATAAGCAGTCCTCTCGCGCACCAGACCGGACGTCATATTCCACTACGGGAGGCGATGGGAGCATGTTCGGTGCAGTTTGCCATCGATCGAGAACCTGTCTGCAGTACGTTTCAGACCGCGTCTCATTCGAAGCGGAAATCGGATACTGCGGAATACCCTGGGAGAAGGTTTGTATTGCGGCGCTACTGGGGCCTCGTCCATCATCCAGTTGCCCCTGTGCCATCGAGGCAGTTGTGGGATATGACGCAGGCGTTAGTTGCTCGTTGGTCAGCATGCCAGTAATGCTTGTAGTGATAGGATCTGCAGCGAGGCTGGTAGGCGGGGACTGGTCCTGGGGTTTCCTTCCTGCTCGCCCATCCGAAGGTGCCTTTTCAGATGTAGGAGCGGCATCGGAACCTTGTTTGTGGATTCTTGAATGCCGAAGAAGCGTGTCACTTCTATGGTTAGTTCTCCCTCATGCCAGAGAAAACGCCTGCACGTACTGACGAGGAAAGGATTTGCGACAGGTGTGACAGCGGAACGGCTTTTCTTTGGTATGTGAGCGGATATGGCGATGGAAATGGTCCGCTTTCTGAAACTCGCTTGGGCAATAGGGACATTTCTTCTTTCCTGGTCCAAGGGGAGTAGGCCCCTGCTCGTGCGCTCCTTTCCGAGTCGAGAGGCTCTGTTCAGAGTCCATGTCGACACTGGCCCGTATTGGCGTGGATTCGGGACCCATAAGAATCAATCTCGCTTGGGTAGTGAGTCACTCTTCTTCATCTGACAGGCAGAAGAGTCCATTGAGCATTGAATGGGCTCACACGGCTTAGGGCGTACTGAGATGCGTGAAGATTCGGTACGAAGGTGATGAGCATCGTGGCGTGCTGAAGGAGGGAGGCTCAAGTAGAATTGCGGAGGTCTTGACAAAGGCGGCGAAGCTTTCCATCCTTGGAAGATGCAGGTTACCACCCCATTTGCTTGGCTAGAGGGGAAACATCGGTCCCGCAACGAGGCTGGACCTCCACATCTCCCCGCCTCATCGCTCTCAGGTATGTAGGATCTGGGCCCCGCCATATGGTGCCGGGCCTCGGCTTCGGAGGTAACAAAAGGCCAGTGTCGGCTAACGATTCGATTAGGTGGCACGATTCTGCTGGCTTGGGCGCTTTGGCTGTGAGACCGTCCTCTACCGTCCTCTACCGTCCCCGATCGTGAAAAACCTGGAATTGCTTGTAGTTTGGCATGGGTTGCCAGAGTCCTGCCTACCTTAATGATGATGATAGGATAACAGGCAGATAAACAACGTATATGGTGTCTCCTCTCGTTCCATGAGGTACACCACCTAAATCGGGAGACCGATAGAGGCGGCATGTCGAGAAAGGGTTGGTTAGAGCTCCATAGCCGCGTTTCGGCTTCGCTAAGAAGTGCCTTGAAATGCGAAGTCTGAAGGACTAGAGCTTGCTATTTGGCCGTTTCGTTGTTTGGCATGACCCTAAGAGTGTCGTTGGAATGCGCTCGCAAGCCGCGAGGAGCTCCGTAGTGGTGTTGCAAGCTGCATAGACGAATCGATCCGGACGCATCAAGATGTATTTCCTCCCCCTCATGTCTTTCTTGATTCGATACATGTCATACCCCGTCGGGTAAGGACGATTTTTGCATAGGTCCGAGGCGGCGAACTCGTCTGCTGTCGCTATCCTGTATATGCTCGCTGGGGGAAGGTCCGACAGATAATCTTCTGGTTGGATCCCAAGGGTTGGATCATGGACCAGAAACAAGGCCGTACTTCCCCGAACCTCACCATTGGAGATCTTGTCAAGGTCTAGCTCTTTCAATTTCTTCCAGCCCTTCTCCACCTCTTTTATATCGTCAACCACAATCAAAAGTCGAAGAAGTGCATTGGCTCTGGGGCCATTCAGCAAAACGTCGTCTGTGAATTGCACAGTTGGGAGTTCGTCTTTGGTGGAATGATGGACCGAGCGACAGTAGACTTGGGGTAAGCACCTGCCGCCCGTCATGTCAGGCAGAAATGCCATCCCACTGGTGTATCTGTATTTTCCCATGCCATCCGAGCGAGGCCCCAATTCAAGGCGGTGCCTCCAGGTCGGGACGAGTTGCATCAACCAAAGGATCCAATCCCTGAGTAAGATTTTGACGGGGTTTCGAGCCGTGGTTAGATTCCCATTGACCACGGTCGAGGCCAGAGAACGGTCCAGCTGCTGCTTTCTTTCCAGGAACCAGCCATGGAAAAGGTCTTTGTAGCTTCCGTCGAAATTAGGGCGACAAGCGAGAGCGAGTCTCCACGCAATGCCGGAGGCATCTCTGAATCCCGAGGCTATCCCCTGACCACCAACTCCTCCCGTCAGCAACGTCTGAACTCGGGAATGTGCAGATACATACAAGGGGGCATGACATGTGCCGCATCGCCACAAAGTAATATCCTTCCGACTGCCCACCTATTGCAGCTTCGGGCAGCAAAGCTGAAGGGTCTCGACCGCAGAACGTGGATGCAGTCGGTGGGATATTGGACAGCGTCTTTCAACCTGCGTAGTTGCCTATGAGCGGGACTCACTTTGAAAGCATACGAACCAAGTGGACTAGCATACCTGTATTTTGAGCCCGGATGTGTCAGATATGGGAGAACGATTTTAGAGGCCTGCTCCCACGTAGATACTTGCTGGGGGTCTTCTCCTTTATCCACGACGAACTCAAACCTCCACAGCCTCTCACTTCGCGGACCGAAAGTACCACAGACTGAGGGGCGGTCGGGATTGCCAATAAAGCGGAAGTCCGGAGGAAAGAAGGTATCGTAGACTTGTTGGGGCGTATAGTTGAGTTTCCACAGCGGAAAGTCTGGGTGCGTCTCTGGCGTTGGCAGGTCCATATGCCAATTCATCGCCACCCATGTCTCTTGGTATTCATACCTGGAAGTCTGTCAGTCCTGGACCTGCTTGGTGCAACGGCGAATCTCAGCATACCCAGAAAGAGTTTGCAGCAAGACTCCTTTGGGTTCCAGATAATGTTTGCGCGTATAACCCGTCTTCCCGTCTGCGCCCACAAGAAATTTCCCACGAATCTTGCATTCCGTGCCGTTCACGTCAATGTATTTTGCATAGACCCAGTCCTCGTCCTCTTCAATGACGACAATTGTTGAGCCGAGCCTGAGGTGAGAGCTTGGGCAGCTACTAGCTACCAGGCGGAGGTGTTTCTCCATCAGAGGTTGTTTGTGCGCAATCGCACCCACATGGCCAGTCCCCCCTTCCGCAGTGCCCAGATTCATGCCCAGAAACGGCCTGGTCATGAGTCCATCTTTCCCGGATGTAAAGTAGGTCCACCCAATGTGTTGAGCGATCTCGGTGTGGACCTTGGAATAGAGCCCTAGCTCCTGGAGCAGTCGTATGCCGTCCTCATCGAGGGCAATACCACGTGGATCTGTAACCACTTCCTTCTCCTTCTCCAGCACCACATTACTGACCGACGAACGACCCAACAGACCACTCAGCAGGGCGCCGGTTGGACCACAACCACAAATGATGACATCTGTAGTCTCCATATCCTCGTCTGCTGTTGAGGTGGCTGTGGACTCAATTTCGTGGAACGGCAAGCTCGAGCTGAGAGATGTCGACAACCAGTTTAAGAGATCGGCAAAATGAACATCTGGGCGACTAGCGGCGAATATAAACTCTGGAATCGCTGGTTAGCCTGAACAGTGGTCCGAAAGGCTGATGAATGATGGTGTTGCAGCCTTTGTCCGAATCTTTCAACGAGACACGCGTGTGTCCCAGGAGGGAATAGAGCACGGCTGGTTGAAGGTACAACATCGACGCCATTGTCTGGTCTTTCGGAGTTCCAGAAGTGGGACGATGGCCTGACATTGCTAACGTCGGGGAATACTCTGTACTGGGAACGAGGTTGGTGTGAACCCAAGAGATCTGGAGATGCCGTGCCGGTGTGCGGGACGCTAAAATGCGGGACAACCTACGTTAGAAAGTCCCGAGCGGGACTAGTCGTGCTTGAAGTACAGTATGTTGGCACCGAGGCGTCGCCGTACCCAATACTGCTTGTTGTGCTGATGAAGATCCGAAGCGCACACTACACAGCATATATTGTAGCTAGGAGCGAAGGCGGGAGAGCGATTACGACGCAATGTCAGAACTCGAGCACCCATGCTGAGCTCTGCTTGAACCCGCCTGTGAACAATGTACAATAGATCTTATCCGCCTTGAAATCAAAGTGCCGTTAATGCAGACACCAGCTACAGAACAGGATCACGAGCAAGGAAATGGCTTATATAGCAGTTATAATGCGCTCATGTCTTGTGTGTGCATGTTAGAGGACGAGGTCAGTACAAGGTAGTTTCCTGAGTGTGCTCAGCCCGACATTGAAGTCAAACTGCGCCAAAATGAAGTATTTTGAGGGCGCTCTCATATAGTATTGTCAGAAGCCGTGCAGCGCAGCTTAAACCATTGAACTTGGTACGGACAATAGCACAAGGATCTTGTCGCGCATCTGCCAGGTTGGACAGCGCTATATCAGACGCTCACTCAATGGGCAAGAGCAGAGAGCTGCGGAGTACGGAGTACATAGGTAATAATTAGTCAAAGTGTGCTGGAAGCGACGGCGCAAAGCTTAGAAAGTGCGGTTAGAATTACGGTGAAGCAGCGCTTCACGAGGACCCTGCGAGTGAGTGACGCAGTCGAGGCAGTATGGCCAGGCGCAGTTTGACGCATCTGAACATCACTTCAGATTGGAGATTCATCTGGGACATACTCCATAGAAACAGCCCAACGAAGGCAACCACGCCCTTGCTTACTGTTATCGACCTTGACGAATCCATCTGCACTTCTGAAGCCCACTCGTCTTCACCAGAGTAATCGCTCCTCCACGAAAGTTAAGACTGCGCCTCACTACCACTAAAAGAATCTCGACTTCCACCTCCTCAGCCTCTCGTGCCCACCCTGCGCCAGGATTTCGACAGTCTTCAACTATCCTGAGAGCGAGACAAGGTCGCATTGCTCTTCCATTAGCGCCTTCGCACCCGGCGGCACAAGACAACCCTCGCGTTCGCAATGGCGCTGCCGAAGCGGATCATCAAAGAGACCGAGAGACTAATGGCCGAGCCGTAAGTCTTTGCACAAACCGTGAGCCGCAGGATGTGCTCTGAGTTGTCTAGTGTTCCAGGAATCAGCGCCGTACCTCACGAAGACAATCTCCGGTACTTTGATGTCAGCATTCATGGCCCTTCTCAATCACCGTATGAGGGTATGTCGAGAAGGCAGCAGAGCCGTGGGGGCTATGGCTGATTCTTCGCAGGAGGTATCTTCAAGCTCGAGTTATTCTTACCAGACGACTATCCCATGACCCCGCCCAAGATCAGATTTCTCACCAAGATATACCACCCTAACATCGACAAATTGGGTCGTATCTGCTTGGACGTCTTGAAGAGTGGGTGCTAATACCGTTCGGAAGAATAGCACTGATCTCTTTTTCAGGCAACTGGTCGCCAGCGCTACAGATTAGGACCATTCTTCTCTCAATACAGGCTTTACTAGGCGCTCCAAATCCGGATGATCCGTTGGCGAATGATGTGGCTCAGCGGTGGAAGGAGGACCAAGAGGCCGCCATTCAAACAGCGAGAGAATGGACGAGAACACATGCTACGGCCTGATCATTTTTAACCCTCCACGTTATACCGGGCGCGACGTTGCTGGGAGCGAATGTTTCGAAAGTGTTGTAGCTGGAGATGCGAACATGACCTGATGAGGCGCAGACCACAGTCATGAGCCACCATGATGAATTCAGCAGAGATGAGTATGCATTCTGCACTTCGCTTCGATTCTGTCCATTGCCACCCGTTGTCTGCCATTTCCAATCAATGTCAGTCTCTGCTTTGACCCCAGTGTATCTTCAGTCGCCGTTGTCACTTCGTCCTCATTGGCGACATGGGTCACCCATCGATACTTGTGTGGCAGTCGTGACATGGCCGACGCCCAGCAGGGCGACATCATACCTCAACTGCACCCCAGGGCATCGGGGCGCGCCATTGGTCCATGATCTCCCCGTCGGTGGGCTGGGCGTCGCCAAGAGGAGTACTTCTGTCATTGTCGACGACGCCCGAAACATGCTGTCTTTCCTCCCCCTCAACAACCACCACAATAATAGCGTCCTCCATGGAGGGGATCAGTCGTTGGAGCCCTGACTCTGATGAGTTGGCCTCGTGCCTCCCTTCGCGGCCATCGACGCCGCAGTCCGTCAGGACTCTCCTTCGCTCCCCGGGGTCTCCTTTGAGAACCCTTTCGAAGAAGTTGAGCCGGACGGGCTTGTCAGTGCAAAGTCGAAAGACATCGCCTGGCAGAGGGGAGGCCACGATGCTCAACAAGAGTCACGTGGCTGGTGAAGGAGGTGAGGTCGTGGCCAACGCCCTCTACAAGCCATTGGCGGTCGCTGTCGGACGTCCTTTTCATTTTGACGTGAACAAGGCCTTGGACATTGTCCAAAATTCACTTTCTTCTACCACCCACGACACCACCACCACCACCACCTCACAAGACCCGGTCAAACGACCAATTCCTGCTTCGTCCACCATGAAGCCATGTCAAGACGTCGAGAAGACGATCAAACCCGCAAAATCTTTTGCCATGTCGTCGCCAGACCTTTCTCTTTCTGCAGCTTTCAATGCATCCTCATCTCCGCCTGAAGGCGCTAACTCTGGCCCCGATCAAGCACCTCGAGATCGAGTCATCACGGGTGACATCCTTGACTTGAAGCGACTTCCACCTCCAGACATCAGCCAGCATCCTGTGTACCAGGAAAGTCCCTTCAAGTCTACCAGTGATGCGCCTCTCATGGTCACTACGACCAGTAAAGAGGAAATCAAGCGACTGGTGAAAGAAGCTAGAGAGCGATCCGACGAGAGAGAGCGTCAAATGCAGCGTGAAGAAGCCGAGCAAGAGGAGGCTGCGCGTCAGGGCACTGTGAGGTTCAAGGCATTTCCCAAACGTGGCAATGCGTTCAACATAGGCTACAATAATGCTGTCGGAGTCGAGGCGAGTCTTCGCGCATCGGAAGGAGGAATGATTTTGAAGTCAGCCACGCTTGACCGCCAACCGATACAGTCCCGCCAATCCCAACGAGTGTCGTCCGAACCTTCTCACAGCTTCAACCTGCGCAGCAACTTCTCTCGGTGCCAGATTGACAAAGACAATGACGAGGCCGACATCTACGACATGCTTGGCGAGGGCTCGCCCACGGTCGCGTCAACCCCTCACCAGGCGAAGAGCTCAATCGACAGCGGGAAAACGCCTACTACACCAGCCTCGGAAGGGTTCGAGCAGAAGAAGACAGGTCTACGCAAGGTCACTGGCATGTTTGGAAAACATAAACCCGAGAAGTCGCAGTCCGAGTTGACTCCGCCCATGGAAGTCGATATGCTTCACCGTCCTGATCTTGTAAGTACCGTCCCGCATCCTCACTAGCAACGTGACTGACGGCATATGCTGCAGGAGCGCTATTTGCGACGTTCCACAAACAACCACAGCTACGATTACGACCCTGGCCAGCCATATCCACGTCACCCCAGCACTAGTCGCGCGTGGCACTCGCGCAACCTCAAATGCACGACTTGCCTCGAACAATGTTGCGCCGTCTGCGGTCGTGCCTGCTGTGCTTACCGAGCTGCCGCACTGGCCATGAAGATACACAAGGATAATCCTGAATCCCTCAAAATGGCAGAGGAGAGACTTCTTCAGATCGCTTTCTTGTACCCCTACGGTCAAGAAGCTCCCACTTTCCTACAATGCACCAAGGGCGACGAGGTCGGTTGTGGCAAGATGGTCTGTCCTGACTGCTGTGGTGAATGCCCCCACCCGATCTGCAAGGATATCCAGTGCCGAAAGTGCAAGAAGGACCCATGGAACGACTGCTTGTGGCACGATGAGGATATGAACCGACGTGCCTTGTGACCTTTTCAAGGAGCACATTCGCGGAAAATTGCAAATCACAGCCAGGCGTTGGAAGGCATAGGAGCTGTATTGGAATTGGATCACAGAACAGGCACGACGTCTTGGAGAAATGAAGTGCTGAGATAGCTCATGCGATGGAGTAACAGTAGCTTGGGAAGAAGATACCATCAAAACTAGGGCATTAGTTCAGGCGCTCCTCCCACAGATACTGAGGAGACCATGATGAACCACGACGTGATCAGCAGAGAATAATATTTTCCACAGTACTGTGTAGGCATGCCCCAGGAAAAGAAAGGGGTCTGCTCCCGCGCTCTGCTTGCGCTCCGCCGTAATCAGGTCCATCTTGCCATAATGCGCATCCGTACATATCTTGGCGATGCTTAGCTAAGCCCACAGAAATCGACTTCCGCCGCAGTGACGATCGAGTTGCAGTCTTTTGATTTCAATCCCAACCTCAACAACACCTCGACAACTGGGTACAGCATCAGTGGACCGTCAAGATGCGTACCTACGACGATACTTTCAGCGGCACCAAAATCTACCCGGGCAAGGTCAGTCATCCACCCTCCAGCGTGCCCAGCCGCCACGCCTTGTCGATAAAAGCGACCGGCGCGACGAATTTGCAGCACCCCAGATGATATGAGCGCTGTGGCTGACATTTCTTTCTGGCGTTTTACAGGGCAAGCTCTACGTCCGCGGCGACAGCAAGATCTTCCGATTCCAGAATGGCAAGACCGAGTCCCTCTTCTTGCAGCGCAAGAACCCCCGCAGAATAGCCTGGACCATCCTCTACCGCCGAATGCACAAGAAGGGTATCTCAGAGGTTAGTCGCGCGCCGTATTATGCACTTGCATCCTCTTCATAACTCAAAAGACAAGTGAGGTGATCATCGGAGAAATACTTGCGAAGAGGAGGATGCAGAAGAAGCAATGGGACACGAAACTTCCCTTTGCCTATCTGCACAATTCCCAGACTTTGCATCCGTCAAATCCACTGACTTCTCCCTTTCCCGTATACAGGAAGTCGCCAAGAAGCGCACCCGCCGCACCGTCAAGCACCAGCGCGCCATCGTCGGAGCGTCGCTCGACGTCATCAAGGAGCGCCGCTCCCAGCGTCCCGAGGCCAGAGCCGCTGCCCGACAAGCCGCCATCAAGGACGCCAAGGAGAAGAAAGCCGCCAGCGAGAGCAAGAAGAAGGCCGAGAAGGCGAAGAGCGCGGCCAACGCTTCGAGGGGCCAGATCACGAGTAAGCAGGGAGCCAAGGGCGCGCCGACCAAGGTCAAGGCTACGACGAGATAAGTGTGTGCAGATGGGCACGGTCGTGAGGTTGTGGAGGTGCTGGCGGTTTCTGCTTTTGCGGAGCGAGTGAATGTGAAGTGACAGGCAGGCGAAAGGAGACATTCTACCTGGCCATAGAGTGCACTGGTATAGAATGTGTCGTCGCCATGCGGCTGGCTACACCTGTGTCGACGCACGCGTCTACAGGAGTGACTGGCATTGGGATCCTGACTCAATGATATCGGATCCCATTGCACAGTGATTCCTGCCAGACTTGGTACAAAAGGTGATCCGTCATCGGGCACAACAGCAAAGATGATTCATTGCAGTACCAGAATCGAACATCACTTGAAACGAGATGTATCTTCCTTCCCCGCGCGGCGGTGTTGTTTCCTGCTGTGCTATAGTACAAAAATGTTCTGACCCGCCACCTATCGCCTCATCCCCAGACACCAGAATCGTTCCATGCATCAGTAAATGCATCATGAATGGCGCGACGGGCCGTAGGCTACACGTCTATGCTCACGCCTTTCCAGTGAACGAGACGTGTTGTGTCTGAAGGTCCGCGAGCTTCTTAGCATTGGTCTAGTTTTCGGGTTTTCCAGCTCTAAGAGATGATAGACCGATCGCGAAGGCGCTCTGAAGCGTAGTCTCCCTGAACCAAGAAGGGATGAGACTGCTCAAGACGCCCCGAAAGGGTAGTAAGGCAAGTCGATGCAACCACGTCAAATGACGCTCGATGATCTGCAACGCTTCCAGGAATGGCTGAGAGCAGCACCCACTGGAACCTATAATGCCGTGTATACATTCCAGACACGGTAGTCCTGAATCGAGTCCGTGATCTCTCCGAAGAGCTTGGGGTCCGTGATCAGATTTCTCTAATCAACAATCTTGCCATAGAAAGGAATGCCGAGTTGTTGAAGGAGGAGCCTTGCATCTTTATCCTGGTTGGCAGTGGTATGAACAGTAATGTACAAACCCTAGCCAGAAACTAATTAGCATGTCCCTGACAGAGTTTTGAAATAGTCGAACTTACCGGAATCATCTTGGTCGGGTAGGCGTCGTAGTTGATCTCGATCTCTGGAAAGCCAGCAACCACATCTGGATTCAAACCGAAAGACAGATTACCACTGTTGTCGCCTGTTGTGGCTCTGACACCGTTCCAGTCCTTGATACGTGGCAAGACGACATTGATCAACTTGCCGAGGAAATGATACATGTCCTCGCCCTTCAGATCCACGGTCATGCTGACTGGCCGACCTTTGATCAAACCCCAGGTCTGTTCATTGTTTCTGGCCCGGTGTATCTCGACTCTATAGTTCGTGATTGCCTGCAAAATCATTCCAGCAACGTGGAGGTAGCCTGAGCCTCCCTTGAGTGCGCCTTTGCAATAGGCATGGACCGTAACTCGCTCGACCATCGGTACGTTGCGAAAAGTGATGGGTTTCCTCAACAGTCGCAGGACGTCCCCACCACGGGGTCCGCGTAATTGTCTGTTGGTGAAGTATGGGTTATCTCCCTCCCAAGAACGTAAACGAGGTGCCTTCTCCGTCGGCCTGAATCCGGGGGGTGTATGTTGGTAGCACATTGTCATGAAATCAGGAGCAATGATGTTGTGGTACGCAAGCTCGACTCGTGGGGAGGAGAAGGGGCCAGGAACAAATTCTCGACTGGCAGGATCTGAAGGATGTAAAGGTTGATGAGGATGCATAGGACCACGATCATATCTGGGACTTCGGAATCGATACCTGTTCGGTGTGAGCGCGCTGTAGTCAACTCTGAAGAATCTCCTCTACCTGCTGGGAGGAAGTTGTCGCTTCCTCGATTTCGAGAATGCCAGAGGATCAAAACTCTGGGCTTTAGGATGCAGGTTCTGGACTGGTACGAGGGACGACTCCTGTTCAAGCTCTGCATATGGCTGTTCCGCTACAGCCGCTTGAGTAGCTATAGTTCGTCGCGAATAAAGGCATCGGTTGCAGATAGATGGGTTGCTCAGTGGCCGCCACGTTCGCAACAGGCGCGTTGACGGTGGTTGCGCCATGGTGCGTGCTTGTCGACCTTGGTAAAGGCATAAGACCGTGGCTTTCAAGTGAAATTGAGTTGCGAGAAAACGAGATTGTGGCTATTGCCGCCTACTCCGCCGTAGCCGTGACCATCCCCACTTGTTCGCGTCGCTGTCCCATGCACTTTCCTCCATTTCTGTGAAGGAGTAACTAAGTCAAGAGGCATACAACGCTGCCTACACTCGTCGTCCTCTCGCGTGCTCTGTAACTGCCATCTCGACTGCAAGAAGTCGAGAGGAGGTATCAATGGAGCGCAACCCTCAGCTGTGGTCGAACCCCGCCGGACATTCATCTTGACCAGCAAGGACGGTCGGGATGACCTGTTTGCTCGCCTCAATACCACCATGGAAGACATCGCCCTCCGGGCATCCAAGTATGGCCCCGGGCTCTTGAACCCTTAGCCACCTTCTAACCTGACCATTGCAGAAATGTAGATCGTTCAGAGAACGATATTACACTCGCCCTCTCCCGCTCAGAGACCAAGCACGAGAACCTGGAACCGTTGCTCGCAAAGTGAGCCTACCTCTTCCTCGAGCAAAACCTCTGCTCACAGCCCTAGATTCCGCGCAGCATGTCAAGACTACATCTTCATCGATTTCGCGGCTGCGGCTGAGAAGCGAGTGGAAGCCCGCTTATGGACTGCGCATTCCAAGGTGAACTCAAGGTTCAGACCGCTCATGGCGAGATTTCGAGAGGGAGATGGCCAGAAGTTGAAGGTCGAACGTCGGAAGGCTGAGAAAGTTTACCTGGTGTTCATCAAATCCAGCCAAGCTTTCTATCGAGGTTACATTCAGCGTCTTGCCTCGAATTTCAAGGGTATCCCGGAGATCCTCACCTTGGCCCGTGGCATGGAGCTGGATAGTATGACTCAACCTGCCCACGGTGCTGGACCCTTGCTAATAGTTGACAGCGCTTTCAGCAGACACCCCGCAGCCCGCTGATGCCGTGTTGAAAGGAAAGCTCATTGATTCGTGTTATTCGGCCCTGGTGCAGTGCGGCGATCTCTCCAGATACCGAGAAACCGAGCTGAAAACACACTTACGCAATTGGGGTCCCGCTGTAGGGTACTATAATAAGGCTGCCGTTCTCAAGCCCGCCGACGGCAGAGCGTATAACCAACTGGCTGTCATAGCTCTGAGTGACCAAGATCATTTACGAGCTGTCTACCACTTGTACCAGGCAATATGCGTGGAGATCCCATTTCCTCAAGCCCGAGACAATCTGGAGCTCGAATTCAAGAAACTCCGCGTCAAGTCCAACCAGGGAAAGCCCATCGCCGGGAATTCCGCTGTGTTCAAGGGCGACCCTTACCTCTATGAACAGTTTCTCCTGTTTCATGCCCGCTGTTGGGAAGAGAAACCCCGGGCACAGGAAGAACAGCAGATCGAGATCTTCCGGCTCATTAATGATCAAATTCGGCAGCAGCCTGAGGCTACCATTCTCAGGAAGTTCTCCTTGGTCAACATCGCAGCGGAGAAATCTGCTGCAGAAAAGGCGGGTGGTATGTGCAACCTTTGCATTGTTCAGTATTCTCTTTGCCTGACTAACGGAGCAGGCGAAGCATCGGCATTGCGCTCTTTTAAAATCTTCCAATCCTTCAACATCAAAACGTTCTCTTTACTTCTCAAACTTGTGCTTGAGGAGCTTCAGCTAGATGCAGAACATATTGGCCTCCCTGCAACCAATCCTCCTGCTGAGGTTCCTCCAATCACGCGACGGACCCTCCCACATCTGAGGCTATACACCGGCTGGCTGCTTACCAGCATCCAGTATCTTCTGGCGAATGCGGAGCTCGCTTCTCAAATGCAGCAGCTGTGGCGTCTTTACGCTAGGGCACTCAACCTCTTGCTGCAGTTGTTCCCGCCTAGCGATGCAGAGATTGAATATCTGCTGAAAGAAGACGCAGAGACTCTCGGTTTCTCTGCCTTTAGCCAATTCGTTAGGGACAAGCGGTTTCGTCGATCGAGCCAATTCAAACCAATCTATAACGAAGCAAGCTTTGGTCCTCCGATTCCTAATAATGAGATGCTTTTCCGCATCAAGGAGTTCATTCGAGAGGCCATGTTCCTTTTCAAGAGTGTAAGTTGCATCTCTCGGCGGCAGCAGGGTGCTAACATGGCAAGGTTGAGTTCAACTCTGTCCCCGTGCCTCTGACGTTCGCCGGCAAGCGCTTCGTCTATCTTGGTGATGAAGATAGGTCTGCGCAAGCTGAGAAAGCAGCTGATGCTTTCACTGGTCGGCATGAAAGCGTCCAAAGTGCCAACGCCGAGTACGTAATCATGAATGGTGGAATCGTTCGTCAACTTCCCAGTCAGCAGGAGATTGTCCCTGATGCCGAAGGGTCGATGGCTTCCCGAATGGAGAACATGGTTGATGATTTAACCCGCCCTGGTATCCCTCGGGAAGAGATCAACCGTTCAAGCATTGTACACGATTCCTCGACAGCCCCAATGAAGACGCCGTTGGCGCAAACTTTTGCGGACCGGGGAAATCCACCATCGCAGACTACATTCACTGCACGTGACCTCGTGCAGCGGATGCAGCACTCGTCGGGCGGCTCGCAACCTAGTCCGAGAGCCCAGGCTATCAACATTGCACCACTGCCATCTATCTGGAATACCCCCTTTGCGCCGCGACCAGGGGAAACACCCGAGTCATCTCCCCGGCCAAGCAGTGCTCATCATTTTGCGCTCCAGGCTTCGGTATCTCCAAATCTTAGCAGCTCTGCTGAGTTCCATACGAACCTTGTGAACTTGCAAGAGGAGATCCAGACGAGAACGTCCCCCCAATCCTCGCTTCAGCCAACGATATCGAGCCACTACGAGACCCCGACCAATCTTACATCCTGGATCCGAGCCCACGACCCAATGCAGCCTGCATCCTCGCCTTGGCAAAGTCCCTTCACTAGTGCGGTACCTGTCCACCAAACTCCTATACCTACAAAGCATACGAATGCGTCTCCTTTTGGTGCTATCGGCGAATCACGGCCGAGGAGTAGTCGTACACCGAACGGCGGTCAGCCTGGGTGACCGCGACAATCGATGGGCATCAAGCACCTACATACAGTACTTCTCACCGATACAATGTCCGGGTCCATTGGGCTAAGGGTCTCCAGGTCATGGCAGCTGACATGGTCATTTGTACCAGTGGGTCTTCACTCCGCGGAAGCTGCCCTTCGGCGCCCAATCAAGACAGACGGGGGCCAGCTTCATCAGACGCAGGCTGAGACGACTAACACAAGGCCTAGAATAAGGAGAAGTGCATGTTCATGGGTCGTCGCCGTTGCGTGAGTGGTGTTATCCTCGCTCTGCCAGGCTGCCGTTGCATCGGACGGCAATACCACGATTCTCACAGAATCAGCAACTCGTCGATGTGCCGGGCGTTCTCAGACGAGAGACATTTCTAATCTTGCGTCTTCTATCTCCAGTTTGACCGAACGCAATGTCTGTTGCTCGCTCAAGTTCTCGAATCCAGAAATATGGCATCAGATTGGATTCTTTGAAAGTCGAGGAGCAGACTGCCAGCACGGCCAGCCATAAAGTAGCCTCGCTTTCCCTGACATCTAGCGCAACTGCCATCGCTCTCTATCAATTCCAGGATTCCTATCCTTTAGGTATCAGCATGAACCGTTCAAGTCGTGGAGGACATTGGTATCATGCATGCCATTACCCCAGTGGTCTTGTTGAATGACCCTTTACCCAAGCGCCCATAGATGTACACTTTTGTGCTTCTAAGCCCGAACGCCGTCTGTCATGCTATACTGCTCATGCAAGAAGGTCCCATCTAGGCCTCGCTGCCCGTGTATGTCTGCTTCGGCCATGGATATCTGCACATCACGTCTCGGTTAGCAATTGCACTCGGTATTCGGGACAAGAGCACGGGCAAGGCACTCACGAAGGCCCCAACTCTTGCAGACTCAACCTCGCCAACCAATGGCCCTTCTTGATACACTCCTCGAGGCTGTCCCCGTTCACGACTCCGGCGCAGAATCCACCGGCAAAGGCATCGCCCGCGCCGTTCGTGTCGTTGATCTTCTCCTTGTCAATCACCGCGACGGGGTACTCCTTGACCTCGACCTCATCTCCCTTGGCACTATCGTGCACGGCCACGATGGTCGGATCAGTGCCCTGAGTCACGATGACGACTCGCGGCCTCTTCGCATTCACCTTGGGCGATTTGGCCATGAGCTTCGCGCACTCGGCCATGCTGATGCCCTTGTGGCCCTGCGTCTCGGCCCACGTGGACGCCTCGTTCTCATTGCCAAACACGAAGTCGCAGTAGGGCAGGATCTCGGCGAGCGGATCCTTGAAGAACTGCGGGATGAACCCGGCCGATAAGGAAAGCATGAAGATCTTGTTGTTCTCGGCGGCGTGTTTCGCCAGCGCCATGGCCGCGGGCGGGCACACGGTCAGGTGGTACCCGCCGACGTAGAACGTCTGGGTGGACTCGACGAGGGACCAGATCTGCGGGGATTGCAGGTGCGGGAGCTTGTATTCGTTCGCGGCCGCCAGGTGCGTGCACATGGTGCGGTGGTGGTCGGTGATGATGACGCCGCATTTCCCCGTCGGGACGGTGGGCTCGACGTGATATTCGACGTGGAGACCTATTTTGAGCGAGCTGTCAATGATATTGTTCGGTCCGAATCCAATAGCGAAGTGGCGCGCAGTCCGATGTTACATTACGCACCTTGCTCCTTGCACTTTTCGCGCAGTATCCGGGCGTACTCGTCGTCTCCGACGCTGCCGACATACCACACACTCTCAGATGGTAACATGTACTGTGCTCCGCGGGCGGTGTTCTGCGCGGCGCCGCCAGGGATCAATTTGGCGTTGCGGTTCTGGATCAGGTCGTCGTAGAGGTCCATTTGGTGGGGTTCGGCCAGGAGGGTGTCGTCGAGTTTGAGGCCATATTTCTGCAGCATTTCGTGGTCCCTGCGTTGAGGTATCGGTCAGAGCCTGCATGGGGAGGTGTGAGGAAGGGGACGTGTCGTGTGGTGAAATGGGGTCAACTGCGTCGGACAGGTGACATGGACGTGATTGTTGAACGTACTTACCCTACACCTTGGATGTCGAGGAGGGGGTTCTCCAAGCAGAGAAGCTTGAAGGACTTGGTCGCCATGGTTGCTAGCAGTCGTGCGATTTAGGATAGTAGTCGTGAAGCGAAGAAGGACTCAAGTAGTTAACAACGGTGATTGTGAGAAAAAGTGATCGATCAGGAAGGAACTGAGGTCAGTGTGGAGAGTCGTTAATATCGTTCCATGGTGGGGGGTTGGACCAAATTTAGCCGGGGATGTTCCGGGATTTAGCTCCCAGCTCCGCAAACACGGCGAGGCGGCGAGCAAAACAGCATCATTACATCCTGACATCCTCACCACCTCTACCCCCCTCACCCGCGTCAACCACAATGGCGTCCAACCCGGCGGCGGAGCTTGCATCCACGATCCAATCCGCCAGCATCAAGCGCCACCCTGATCCCAGTCACGATATCAACCCCTCCACCGCGGCCTCCAAGAAAACCCCCGGCGAAGTCGAAGCCATCTCACCACTGCGTTCCCGCTCAAACTCTGTGGCCTCCGACGCCTCCACCATCCCCAGCGATATACTCCGGCCCAGACCGCGCGCTCGTTCGTTCCCTCCGATCCCCGACTTCCGCTTCGAGCAGTCCTACCTCGCGTCTATCAAGAACGCGGACACCAACTGGAAAGTCGCATTCATTACGATTCGAGATCAGGTGGTTTTACCACTCACGCAGGGCATACTATGGAACCTGGTGATGTTCGGATGGAGGCATTGGAACCGCGGCAGTAAATTCCAGGGACGCAGTATAGGGGCCAAGGTCCGCAAGTGGTGGTGGGGGGTGAATAACTGGAAGGTCCCGACGGAGAAGAGGGCGAGCGAGAGTGAGCACCGCCAGGTCGCGGAGCGGGTGGGGGATTTCTTTGTCGATCGGTTTGGGAGCAGTCTCGGGGATTGAGCACACCGGCGCCTGCGTGATAGACGTGATGGGGTGGGATTGGTTGGTATGCAATGGAATCCGTGATCAGCACAATACCATGCCCGACGGACAAGGGCTGGCCAGGCATGCATGATCCGCCACCAGGGTGGAAACATAGGACCTACCTCCGGATCGAAGCGGGAGCAGTCCCAGTGCTGGAACCAAGGTCGACTCCACTCGTCAGATGAGGACTTTCAGGCCGTGCCAATGCACACACGTATTGCTGCCACGGCGTCCCGCTTGTTCAAAAGGGCTTGTAGGGCCTAATCCACCACCACCGACCTGATCTAGGGGGTCCAGGTTTTACGGCAGGTGGGATATTACCATCGCCACGGACGCTGTTGACGAGCAGCATTCTAGAAGGCCTGTGGGAGTGAAGGTTCAATCCACTATACTATGTACGACGGCTCCAAGCTTATAAGTGCCGCGTTATGTGGATGATGAGTACAATATCGCATGCTTCAGTTGTGTATCCAAGTACGTTTGCGCCGGTTAAATATCTCCATTGCAGTTGCTGCCTTGGGCTATTGAGTAAGGAAGGAAATATCAACAAGGACAACTGCCAGGCATGCCCGCCACGTCCTGGGACGCAAAGTCTATCCGTGGAAAAATGGACATAGCATTCACGGTGGATGGGGCACGTATGGGAAGGAACGCAATTGAGTCAAGCAGCACCGCGAGGCTCTCATTCGTTCCTCTATATAGCCACCTAAGGCATATCATGAGTTACATAGAGGGGACTGATCCATCATCTCTTCCATCATGGCATCCATTCACTCACTCATCATCCACGGTCCTCGCATTCCTGGCCTTCCTCCTGGCGCCTTTGAAGTGTTTCTTGTCGCTCATTTTCAGATCACTGGGGTCGATACCCTTCTCGAGCGCGGCCATCGCTTTGGCCTTCCGCCCGGTCAACTGCTTCTGCTGCTGCGATTGCTGCTGGTTGAACGGCGTGGCCTTGATGTGGCCTGCATTGCCCGAACTAGGACTGAAATATGTGCTGTCGAGTTTCCGCGCGCGAGGGCCCGTCTCGAGTGGCTTGACCGGCAGGGACGGAGACTCCGAGTCGAGCGTGGTTTCGTCAGAGTGTGCGATCAGCCAGGCTTGTCTCTTTGCAGGGAGGTGCGCAAAGTCGTATAACTTGTCGTTGAATACGTGTCCATATGCCTCGACATCTGTGTCTGTGTCTTTGACGGGCGGCGGATGGCAGTAGAGGAGTTTTCCATTCACGTAGTCTTTTAGAATGTACCGAGCGGCGCGACTCTCATCGGGCTGTGAGCCGGCGCCTTGCGTATTGAAGCCCCTCGCTTTGGCATATGCTCTTAGCATTTCGCTGGCTGTGGGTCTCCCAGTACCACCTTCCTCAGCGGGGCGCGTCTGGATCTTCATGCCGTAGACGTTCTCTAGGAAGGCTTGAGGTATTCTTGAGGCGACTAGGCCAGCGGGACCAGTGTACTCGCGGAGCTGGTCGATGGGTAAGACACCGTTGCAGACCAATTCAGCTTTCGTGGTTGCAAAGTTCGGAAACACGAGACCAGGACAATCGCACAGGATGACTTGATCAGAGAGATGGAGGGTCTGGAAGTGTTTCGTCTTGCCGGGGGTAGAAGAGACGGAGACCTTTTTGGCGCCCAACAGGGCGTTGATAGTCGAGGATTTACCCACGTTGGGATATCCGACAAGGCCTATCGTCGTCTTTCGCTCTGTTGTTGCGTCTGCTGTGATATTTTCGAGGAACAGGCCCTCAAGTTCGTCTACCGTAAGAATCCGCGTGTCTGCTGAAGAGGAAGAGGATGGCGAGAGTTGCGAAGTTGATGATGCTGAGGGTTCTTGATCTTCTGAGTCCTCGTTATCTTCTTCTTCCGGCTCTTCTTCGTTGTCCTCGTCGTCTTCGTCTGTCCATTCTTCGCCTTCTTGGTCCTTCAGGTTCAGGTTCTGGACGTTGCCAACCATTGTTTTCTCTGGCATGGTTCGGTCAATCTGTTGTTGGATCTGCCGGGCGTCAAGCTCCTCAAGTGCATCTCTACCCTCGTTCATCTCCCTAGCCAAGTGAGCCGAAAAGAACTTGTAGTTTATCCCTTGCTCGCGGAAGTAGTCTGCCCATGCTCTCCTTTGCTCCTCGGTCATCATATCTGCCTTGTTGACCAGTAACAAGTTCCTCTTCTTCGGGTCAACTTCTTTGACATATTTCTCCAGATCCTCACTTCGAAATAGTAACGGGTTCCTCGCGTCCACGATCTGAACCACTAGATCTGACCGTTCGATGACCCGCCACAACTGCCGCCATACCTCGATATTCCTCTCGAAAGGCGTCATTAGCAGGTCGTCATTCTCTTGCAGCTCGGCCAGCCCTCTCCTCCAGTCCAGCAGACTCGCCTTCTCTTGCTCATCTAGCTGCTGTGGCGTAGTCGCCTCATCCCACTTTGGCCGCCTCGGCACCGTCAGTCGGCCCTTGTTTTGCGCATGTTTCCTCCTCACTCCCCTCTCTTCGCCCGCACTCAGCAAATACGGGTTTCTCTGGTCTGAATGTATTATTTTGACATTGTTCATCTTCTCCGCCGTGAAATCCGTGCCTGCCAGTTCCGCGGTGGACAAGAATTCGTCGAGGGCGCCTTGTTCAGTGACGCTGCGCATTTTCACCCATGATGCCTCTTTGGCGGCGTTGGTCACGTAGGTTTGGCCTGTTGTATGGTCGGTTCGTACCACGCCTTGTTGGGTGACCTTTTTGCGGTCGCTGCCTTTGCCACGACCGAAGCGGTCGTTCATGAGGCTGTTCCCTAGGCCGACGCTGTTTTTACTCTTGGGGAGGACCATGGCGGCGGTACTGTGCAGGACGTGTGTGGGACGACAGGAAGGGGAGGTAGAGAGTTGTAGATCTTGTATTGGTAAACTGAGGGAGGCAAGGCAATAGGTGAATCAAGTGGCATGCGAATCTGCGTCATTTGCACGAATTGTATCGCCCCGCACCGCGAAATTTCCCGCGTTCTTAGAAATTCACTTTGCCTTGTGGGGGACAACTGCCAAAGGAGTCGACACTTGCTATTCTATCACCTAGGCACCTCAAAGGATAGACCAGTAGTCACGATGCCACGCAGCCGGTGGATGTAAGCAGCAATTTCTCCTTTGTCCGGTTTGGAGACTAACACTTCGGTAGCGACAAGAAGAGCGCACAAACATTCCATCTCCTCTACCGCCCGCAGACCGACGAGGCCCTCCACGATGAAACCGCTGGTGAACGGGCACTGTACCAGATCTCCGGACCTGGGTCCTCGTCACAGCACAAGCCCGAGCTGAAAGAAGGCCTGCACTTGAAAGACCTAGAAGATGACCTTGACTTTGAGGATATGCGAGAGAATGAGGGCGAGGCAGCAGAGTATGGCATCTACTTCGACGACACAAAGTATGACTACATGCAACATCTGCGAGATATTGGCGATGGAGCGACAGAGGCGCAGTTTGTGGAAGCCGTGCCGGTCAAAGTACAAGGCAACGGGAAAGGCAAAACGAAGGCGATGAAATTGGAGGACGCGTTGCGAGAATTGTCGGTCGATGACGCCCGGAGCGTGGCGGGCAGTGAGGATTTTTCGACTTTTTCTACGGCGACGAGGACGAGGACGTATCAAAACCAGCAGGATGTGCCCGACGAAATCGCCGGATTCCAACCTGACATGGACCCGAGGCTCAGAGAAGTCCTGGAGGCTCTCGACGATGATGCATATGTGGATGAGACGGACGAGGAAGATGTCTTCGGCGCCCTTGCTAAGGAAGGTCGAAACGGTGAACTTGACCTTGACGAGTTCGCGGCAACTTTCGATGAGGACGACCAAGGCTGGGAGTCAGATGTGACGGAGAAAGCATCCGAACAGCCATCGCAATTGAAGCTTCCCGCACCAAACCCAGCCCTGGAAGGCGTAGATCATACGTCCGAATTGCCAGCAGCAGCCGCAGAAGCAGCCGTCGCAGCAGACGGAGACTGGCTGCGAGACTTTGCCAAGTTCAAGCGCGACAGTGCTCGGAAAGCGCCTCCAAAAGCCGCAGAGTCGATCATTGCCGCCTCTGCAATTCAGGACAAGGCTCCCTCGCTGTACACATTGAACGGCACTCCCTTGCGCCAGAAGAAGCGGAAAGGCGCCCTCACGAATCCCAGTGCCTACTCCATGACGTCGTCATCGCTGGCTAGAACGGCTGGTCAGCAGTTGCTTGACGCTCGGTTCGACCAAGTCGAGAAAATGTACTCCCTGGACGAGGGCGACGAGTTCGACGACGCTGATGGCGGCGTGTCGTTAGCGTCCGGCATGACAGGGATGACAGGTGCGTCCAAGATGTCGAAAATGTCACAGCTTTCAACCACCAGCTTCGCGGACGAAGGCGCTGTGAGAGCAGATTTCGACAGCATGATGGATGGCTTCCTTGGCGATTGGAATAAAGCCAACCCTGGTGGTGGAAAACGCAGAGGAGCCAAGGCCAAGCGAGGCAAGAATGGGAACGAGAAATTCGGGCTCCAGCAGCTAGATGAAGTCCGGGCAGAGCTGGGCCCTGCAAGGATCTACCAGCGCACGACAAAGACATGAAAAGGGCAAAATGATGGCGTTGGGAATCGGTTGTTGATATGGAGCATATGCCAGTGATACCCCCGTCTTGCAATGACAAGACCGATTTCTGCTTGATTGAGACCTCCCTGAACTCCTCGTTATGCATCTGTACAGTGATCGGATGGACCGCCATCACGAAGTTGAAGCAGGAGCCTTGGGCTCGAATTCTGCTCCTTCACGAATATCTCGTTGTGCAAACGGCGTTGATCCGTCTCTGGGTTTCGCGACCGGATCCCAGGCCGAGTATTTGGGTTTCGTCCTGGAAGCTGTGTCAATTTTATACCACGGGATACAGGTATATTCAGTGCCACATACGTCGAGTATGGTCGATACGCGGCCCTGCTCAGCGTCATGTTGATCTTTGGCTCCTTGCTCTCCCACGGCCGGATTCCAATGTCCAAGATCCTATCCTCCCCAGGTGCCTTGTCGACCATGTAGCTCATCCAGGCGTGCCAGCCTGGTTCTATCTGGCTCGCGTCGAACTCCTTGTCTTTGTAGTCAACCTGCGAAAGCTTAGCTCTGTGCTCGTTGCATCAAATTTCTGGTCTGAAGCTCCATCCATACCCATCTGGTGCGAAGGGGAAGCTCCTCTGCCATGTTCTCGTAGTATTTGTTGCCGCATCGATCCATGCCCACGAGTGTACCGGCTTTCGTGTCGCCCTGGAAGATCCGTCAGATATGTGCTGTTGCGCATGTTCTTCGCATCCTTCAACTCACAATATATTGTATCTGGTGACCATACTCCTTGAGGCCCACCCGCCAGATGTTGCGCAAGGTGCGTGTGATGGTCGACATGACGATCTCGGGGATCCGACGTCGCTGGGTTTGGGAGGGAAAAGTGCTCAAGCTGTACGGAGTACGCAGGATGAAATGATGTCTACCTCATTCGCACTTAGGACGGTCGCAGTTTGGAGAAGCGGCACCGGATCCGATGTCTTGGCGGCGCCCAGCTCGGACTCAAAACCTCAATATTGGGTACAGTCCAGTCAACAGTACCCAGTCAGGAGAACATCATCGTTATGGAACCCGTTCGGCTAATTCTCGCTGGTGGACAGCGATGCCGACTACCAAGCCTTATAACTACCTGTTGATGATGATCCAGAGGGTTCCTCATCAGCCGTCGTCACTTTCAATCAATAATTACTGGTAATCCGCAAGAGTATGCCTGCTACCAGGACATGCTTCTCTTCATGTGTGTAATGCTCATCAGCATCGATTCACTCGGCTCTCGTCGCTGTCCCCGTATAGATCGAGGAGTCGTATGAGAGGAGCCGTGCAAGACTAGGCATGCAAGTTCTGGTCGGGTTTGGGATTGTCCCAACTCGTCTGAGTCCATTCGAGGCCTTCAGCTACTAGATCCGAGCTCAGGAAACACTTAGGTAGGTGTTTGGGATGCACAATATCAGAGCTATGAAGCTTGGAGCCGACTCACACAACAAGCAACTTTGGACTGCAAGCATCCTTCGGTATTTCTCCATCTACTGGTGAAGATGGTTTGAGTTGGCGATACTCCACACCATGCTCGCACCCTGTGCCCCACGCGTGCCCAATTGCGAGAGCCATCGAAGGTCAGAGATCTGGGGGCACATGGTATGGGTTATTGACGGGCACTCTTCTGGCCAAGTTGAGGAACTCGAAGCTCTGCTTGTCGAAAACTTGGCCACCACGAAGACGCCGTACGATAGACCAACTGCTCCGGTAACCTTGAGGACGTCTTCTAGCAGAACTTCGACTCCTAGCAGCCGGCAATATTTGAATTAATATCAACGTGATAGCGACCAAACCGCCTGGACACTGCTCTTTTATTTTTGGATCTCACGATAATTACGGGGAAACTGGGCTGAGCACCCCGCGAATCACTGATGCAAGGTGTGTTGCAAGGCTCATGAATGTGGCATGGCGGTCCTTATAGAGCACGAGCTGATGACTCTGCTGGCGGGAGGGTCTGTGCAAGGAGTGATGCGTGACAGGCAAGCTATGTAAAAGTGGCTCGTCTTCAAAGACAAGATGAATTCGTACCTCGTAGTGACTGGAGCCGCCCCGAGTGTGGCGACCAACACAACCTATGACGCCATTATATGATGTCGGACCACCTTCCCAATTGCAAGCGCGTCCTGGAGAATTCCAAGTCGCAGCGTCGTGAGCCCTTGATACACATTTCGCGGTGTGGCAGAAACTCCATGTTTACTCGGACCAGTGCAACGGCCGGGCGCTGAGACTCGGGCACTCCGAGCACCAATGTCTCAGAACAATCACTTCGGCATCAGAGTCGACCATGTGGTTCCTGCCCTTGGCTCTCGTTGTCCTGACCTTCTTTCGCCATGAACTGGTCCAAGTGGCCGCGTCGACTAGGACGGCAACTTCGATAACGCCCTCTACCTCTCCTTTTCGCACTGCCAATTACATTACTCATAGTCTCCCTCAACAATGTCTTACATCTTCGCGCAAGGCGAATGTTACCTCGACGGCTACCGAGTCTACCGTCTCCTCGGACCCAGACCTCGACTCCACGATTTTACCCGAGAGCGAGACCCCCAGCACCATGCCCTCACCTACGAGTCCAGCTGATGATGCGGTCTTATCGACTTCTAATCAGCCTGCAACGCCGGCGTTCGGTGCTCAGGAGCCGAGTCGGAGTTCATTCCAAACCGAACCGCCTAATGTCCAATCCGATACGATGTCCAGTGAGACGGAGGAAGACTCTCCACTGGATGATGGCAAATTCATGTCGTTCGAGGATTGGAAGCGAGAAAACCTGAGGAAGGCCGGTCAGTCTGAACATATAGGAAAAGGTCCTGGAGTCGATAGTCGAGAACCCCGAAAACGACCCGTTGGACTCAGAGACTCCCTTGATTCACTTGGCGACGACGGCGAAATCGACCTGGACTTCTCTGGCTTCGTCTCAGATGGCCTAGAACCACCAAGCCAGAGCCCACCGCGACCCAGCCAAGACATGCGGGATAGCTCTGTCGATTTTGAGCCAGGTCGTCTTCCAAAGGCTGGCGTAAGGAGCAAAGATGCTGGGACAACTTGCAAGGAACGCTTCAACTATGCCTCTTTCGATTGCGCTGCAAACGTTCTGAAGTGGAATCCCGAGGCAAAGAGTCCGTCTGCCGTGCTGGGAGAGAACAAAGACTCCTACATGCTCAATGAGTGCTCGGCCCAGAACAAGTTTCTGATTTTGGAGCTGTGCAATGACATTTCAATTGATACTGTCGTACTGGCGAACTTTGAGTTCTTTAGCTCAACCTTCCAGACCTTCCGTGTCAGCGTGTCAGACAAGTACCCTGTCAAGATCGACAAATGGAAGACGCTCGGCACTTTCGAAGCTCGCAATTCACGAGAGGTTCAAGCATTCTTGATCGAGAATCCTGTCATTTGGGCACGCTACTTGCGTATCGAGTTTCTCACTCACTACGGGAATGAGTTCTACTGCCCTGTCAGTCTCGTCAGAGTGCACGGGACCACCATGCTCGAAGACTACAAGCGTGACCTGGAGGCATTGCAGATGGAAGACGATGATAAGGCTACTGAAGAGAGCGTCGACACCTCCGCAGAAGATGGTCTCGTTCCAGACGCCGTCGCTGAGCAGCTCTTAACGCAGGCGGAACCTGGCGAGACGGTTGCTCAAACCGTTGAGGCGAATGCTCTTGCTGTTCCTGAAACATTTGAACCCCAGACAACACCTGCTATCACCGCTCAGCCCTCGCCTACTGAGACTTCAGAAATCGCGATGCCTACTTGCCCTGCTCAATTCGCTCTGCTCTTTACTGAGTCAGAGGTGCAGAGCAGTACACTTGACACTTGCAATCCTTCTGAACACGATGCGAGTATGTCTAGTGATCCTCAGACACGAGACAGAATCGACATTGTCAGCAACGCAGCAAGCACTTCGACCGGCATCACAACCACCGGCTCTATCGTTTCAGCAAACTCGACCAGTACGCCATCGTCTATCAACAATACCACGGCAATTGCGTCAAATACCACAGGCATCACTCCTAAATCTGATATCGTGATTGACTCCAGATCCCACAACGCCTCATCCTCAACTCCTCCTACTACCAGCACCAGGACTCCGGTGTCTTCTACTCAGACCACACAACCTGCACCTACAATGCAAGAATCATTTTTCAAGTCCGTTCAAAAACGCTTGCAAATGCTTGAGGCCAATTCTTCGCTGTCCCTTCAGTACATAGAAGACCAGTCTCGTGCTCTTCGCGATGCTTTTCACAAGGTTGAGCAAAGGCAGCTGGCCAAAACAACTTCGTTCTTGGAGTATCTAAACATGACTGTCTTAAACGAGCTCAGAGAGTTCCGGCAACAATATGACCAGTTGTGGCAGTCCACGGTTATTGAGCTGGAAATGCAACGAGAGCGCTATCAGCAGGAAAATGTTGCCATCAATGCCCGACTTGGAGTGCTTGCCGACGAGATTATCTTCCAGAAGAGAGTTTCCTTCCTGCAGTTGATTCTCATTGTCGTGTGCCTAGGCCTGGTGCTTTTCTCAAAGGGCAGCCTGAACAGCTACCTTGAACTACCCTTGGTGCAGAGTGTTCTGTCAAGGTCTCCGAGCACTCGCCTCATGAATGCTGCAAGTCCGGATACTCCCAGTCAGAGTTCCCCGATGTCCCGCTCTAATGCTACAGGCGCGATGCGGAAACGAACAGGGATTCTGAAGGGTCATCGTCGATTCCCCTCAGAAGACTCGGTTGAAAATGCAAGCAGTCCGGTTGACTTGTATCCACCATCGACACCTGTGAGCTATGGAGATCCATCCTCAGAAGGAGAGGTTCTGGAGGACAACAATATCCTCGGCGATCCCCAGTTCGACCCGAGTCTAATCGAGCGGCCTAGTACGAGTCCGCCGGTCTTGTCAGGGCCGGATTCGCCCTTGTCTTCGGATTTTGACAACATCTTAGATGACTCTATTGACTCTGTATTAAACAGCAAGCCAACAAATGTTCTAGACCGGAACGCTCCCATTTTGGTAATCGAAGATGCCACGCCGCCACCTAAGCATTTGAAGTGGCAGTTGCCTGATTCCTGAAACGGTCATACACTTCTACTCTATCCCTTCATTAGCAGATTGGGAAGGTATCTGTCTACTACTAACTTCCTCATCAGCTTGTTCGCCACAAGCGAATGTCGTTTAATCCCCTGGTGTCCGTTGGCCATGCCGGCGTCTGTCTGCGCAAAAGTGAAATGGTCCATATCGCCATAACTTCCTCTGAAACGAGTGATCCCATTTTCTCACCCCACGCTCAGTGCACTTTACCCCTGAAAAGCCGGCTCCCAGGTGCAAGACATTGTCCAAGCTCTGGGATCTCTACCCATGTTTACGGACACTCAGCAGCGCTGTACTTGAAGGAAAACAATCGCCAGACTTCTCAATCAGTTTGAGCTAGCTGCACGAACACCATGAGCACCGCGTTCATATCTGTGACCTGTGCCTCGCTCTACTGGGATATTGAAGCACCCTCAGGACTCACGCTGCGGCATGATACGTCCACAGAACGTCCAGTCGAGTTTGTCAGGAAGCCCATCGGCTATTGCAGGATGGGGAACCCCCAGTTCAGTTGTCAATGATGCCGGTCAACCCAACGGGGACATGCGCGGGACGCCTCATCTGTCGGATTGTGGAAGTTGCACCAAGGCCACAAGCACCGCAGCAAATCTACCACACATTATTAGCCAATGCTAGCAGATGAAGCACAACAGGCCAAACAAGTATGTACGCCGTCCCGAATGGAGAACACACCCTGTCGCGGCGGCCAGAACTTGAACCTCGTTTGGTCGGGCGTGCAGACTCAGACTCATGAAACAGCCCACAAAGATCGATGCTAAGATGAGGTCGTGCTTGGCTACCGACGGCGGGCTGAGCATCCAGATAGGGAGGACAATGAGGATTAAGGCCGTGACACTGATGGCCCACGTCTCGAGAGTTTTGTAGCTCGTTGCTGGGGATAGCGCGTACTGGTGGTGAGGATTGTCTTGTCGGCTTGGCGGCTGTACAGAAGGGGGCCTCTCAGTTATGGGCATAATAGCGGGATGAGGTGGTGGTGGTGAAAGCAAAGTACGAGCAGCGAGCACTCACATGGGCCCAGCCGTGGCCATGGTTGCAGCTTTGTTCAAGACACCGGCTCAGTGGGAAGCCTGGAAGATAGCCCGGGACGGGGTGTGTCGGCGAGGCTGGCATTCTATGTCGTTGACTTGGGGGGTGTTGGGGGGGGGGGGGGGGAAGGGAGTTGGGCAAAGTCCTTGACTGGGGGACAAGGAATTGGTAGATGATAATAAGACTGTGGTGAATTTTCTCGCAACAGAGCACTGGACTGCTCACAACTGAGCTGGGTGAGTTGGACGGAGTATGGGATGAAGACATCCACGGGGAGTAATCTGCTTTATGAAGCAAAAGTAGGCAAGTCGAGGCACTCACTTCAAGTTTACAGTAAGCTAACAACTGGGTATCTGACTGGTCCAGTTCGAGCACGTATACAATTGGCTCGATAAGTAAGCATCTGATTGGTACAATTCCAGCCAGTACACAATTGGCTCGACCAACGAGT